TCCGAGGCCACCCTTAGGTCTTGGCTTTCAGAAATGGGCGATAGCCCCTCGAACCCGAACCTACTAGTACTAGATTTAGACTATATGGGTTGTTGCCTAGTAGCTGGCCAAGATCCAAGGTAAGGGAGTTTAATATGTTCCTGTTGCCAGGATTCTAGAATGTCTCTGATTTGCATGTAGGAAAGACCATTCCTTAGGTTAACAAATGAAGAAAGAAAGTCATGCAATCCTTTCTTTAGTCTTTTGCTTTTCTCTCTTCGTTCTGGTCGTGGGATATCTTATGAATTTCACAGCTATATAAAACGACACTTTTTCAATTGAGATCTTTCGTCTTCTCATTATATATGTCATTCTGCTTGTGAGGCTGGAAACTTCTACAACAATCAACCATATATATTCCCATCACCACAATCAAAGTAAACGATAGAGTAAATGGAGAATCCCCCTTCAATAGGTTGACTCTCGTTCCATGCTCAAGGGCTAAAGCCAGCCGTCCTTCTGAAAAGTCCTCGGTACGTGGCTCAAAGGTGAAGCTCAACTCAAACCAGTAGCTCAAAAGGGCTTAGCTGGGCTCAGAAGCAAGTTCAAAGTGAATATGGTGTCGTGAGCCGCACCGAAGAAGAAGGCTGAGTTAAGGAGGAACAAGGTAGCCGTACGGTAATAGTTCTGGAGGCAAGCGAATAAAGGCGGCAAATCAATCTCAGTACTTTAGGATCTCACCTCTTTCTCTTTTAAAAGAAAGGCTTTCTAGTAGTTCCTCCTTAGTACAGAGGAAGATAGGGGCATCCTAAAAGCTATTAGGCAAGGGCAGGAAGCACTATTTCAAATGGGATATATTCTGTATCACCTGGACTCAAGTTTTCCTATTTCCTTTGCGGCAGGCACTTTTCTCTTTTCACTTGATAATGCCCCCTACTTACTTTTCAAGCCAGAAAGAGGACTAGTCTCTTAGTTAGCCAGTAGTTGGTGTCAAACGAGAACGAGCAAGGGCTAGGTAAAGGTGTCAAAGAGAATAAAGGAAAGGTTTAAGGGTTCTTTCTCGTAAAGCACTATTGCTATCATTCCTCGCCCCAAGCGTAGAGAAGAGAGAATATACTAATATAGGATAAATAACCATAATATGAGACTGGAAGAGAGATAAAGAGTAGAAATTAGATGGCCAAAGAAAGTGGTTTCGCTCGAGTTACCACGCGTTGGGCATCTTGTCATGAGGGTATCGGGAACGTGGCTTAAATCAGAAAGAAGAGAATATGAATATATGAATATAGGGACGGGAATAGAGAGAAGGCTAAATCCTGCTTATTTCGATCGTTTAGGTCTCCTTGACAGTCAAGCCACCTCATGTGATTTTGATAAAATAGCGCTTTCCTATGTCTTTTGCCCTCGAAACCTGAAGCTTGGACCTTCGGGAGTGTCTTAAGTGGGAGAGTCTTGTGTCCCGCCAGTTCACTTCCTTGAATTCTGAGCCTACCAATAGCGGGAGAAAATGAAAGGAATAAATGCAAATGCCAGGCATAGCCGGAACTCTTTCGTAGGCTGCTCTCGAGGCAGTGGCTTGAAAATCTCCCGCAGTCACCCACCATGATCGGAGCTGAGATTCTTCATACTAGCTTGGTTAGGTCAATATCTGTACCATCGCTTCTATTTGATGTAATATAGTATAGAGATCGGCTGAAGGTGAATAGGGTGAGATCCATTAAAGTAGATGCTTCCCTGGCTTGCTCACTGAGGTGGTCTACTAGCTGCCTGACTTCTGCGGAAGAACTTGCCGGTTCCCCGATTTGCGTTGCCTCCGCCAGCTGCTGTAACTCAGGGATGCTTGGGGGGTGATAACTAGTGCTTCTCCATCCTCGTGACTTGCTACTTGCCTTTCTGCCGGAGTTTCCTTTTGACTGGTGCCTGCCCCCGTTTGATGTTGCAACAATGACTGGCTTGCATGCATGTCCACTATACGGCCTGACTTGATACCATCCTCAGGCTTTACGAGAGATCGCTCTTCTTCCTGGAAGTTCCAAAGGTTCTGATCAATGAGGCTCGTTGAGACCTCAGGTTATAGCATTTATCTGTTGTATGCTCTGCTCCTCCCGAGCTCGCATCTCCCGTTTGGGCCTTTTGGCAATGGGTCAGTTGCGGGGGTGGGTTCCAAACCTGCTGTTAACAATTGAGGGAGGTTCAAAGATCTCGACCAAACAAACTTTTCGAAGCAGCAAGAAAACGGATGCGCGTTAGCGCAACGGCTTTCGCGCTAGTTGCTCAATCCGTTGCTTGTTCAGTGAAGTCCCTGGAGNGAAGATTACATTGAGCTGCTTTCTTTTCTTGCCTTTCCTTTCTTGCTAATCATTTTTATGATAAGTGTTCTGTGTTGGAACGGGGGGCAATTCTGATTCGCCGGCAGTTCTCGTTTATCCCGAGCTAGGGTGCCGTCAGGTAGCTCGACCATAAGAACGAAGCGAAGCGCAGTGAAGGAAAGGTTTAAGCTTGGCTCGTTCGAACGAGTAAGGTCTAGTCGAGCACATAAGCCAAGGAATCATGCCAGCGCAATCAAAGTTTCCTTCCCTTATTCACCTTACTATCTGAGACCAAATAAGTAAGGCTTTGAGTCTAACGAGCAAAGGATTTAACTCTTTATGGCGGGGAAAAGGGGATGCGGAGCAATACTCGCTCAGAACACGTACCAAGTACAAGGCTGTCTATGGGGGCGTTCGATTCCAACCTTCTCCCACTTCATCATGGTGCTCAGCTTCTTATAACTCCTCTCCGCCTCAGACATCATCCCTTCGCGAGCAAGGATGCAGGAAGCGGCCTGCACATAAAATTCTTTGTGAAAAAGGCATGGAATGGGGCCCCTCCTTACCGTACTAGACCAGACCGGGCTGGTATGCTTGATGTTAGCTATAGGTCTTTTCGTTGCTCTGTCTTTATGCGCTTGCGCTTTAATTCGGATTACCCGTTGTAATAGACTCTTCATCCGCAATTACCATCGACCCCTTCTCTCGAAAAAAAGGGACCATGCCGGTGAGCGCGTAAAGCCTTTAGCCACCTGAGTTCATTACTTCGAGTCAAGCAGCTGTCTTCTAATCCAATTGGACGCCAAGAGGTTCGTTTGCATCTTCTGAAGGGAAGTGGAAGGGCTATAGCTCAAGATCACTAAAGAAGGGATTGTATGTAACACCATAGAATGGATTCCAAAGCAGACTAAAGAAAGGAGGTAAGGCTATCTAGTGCTATAGGTCTCGTCAGACTTTTGATATGCGGAAGATGGTACGGACTTAGAAGTTGTAAACGTAAGACATGCTAGAGTCGACTAGAAAGAAAAGTACATAACGTAGCTATGTTCATGGATGAGGCTGATGCAAATTTGGAAAGCGGTATGACTAGTTCGTGTTGAAAGAACAGACCCCGGGTATCCTAGTCAGGTGGCCTACCTATAGGATCCGATGAAAGGAAAGCTCCCCAAGTAGAATTTGAATCTATCAAGTGAAAGGAAGAAGACTCTCTCTAGTAGAGACCGGAAAGTACCCACTGAATCGAAGGAGTCTCGTACTTAGAGAGTCAACTTCAAGAATAGAATCCACTCGATTAGGCCAATGCAATGAAAAAAGAAAACAAGGTCAGTTATTCAAATAAGGAAGGTCAAAATAGGGCCAAGGCAGTTCACTCAGCATCAGGCCTTAGTGGACCGAAGGGAAATCTGGGCTTCAACAAAAAGCCCATTCATAAACCATGCCTAGATACCCGAAGACCGGTTTTACCGAAAAATGCCAGAAAGGCTTTGATGAATTGAATCAAAAAAAAAGGTTTGGAACCCCATCGGAACAGGTATTCTGTCCAATTTCTCTAGTTGCAGTCTACCTTGCCATTTGTTCAAGATTCCAAAGAGAGAAAGAAAGTCAATCATATATCTAGGTTTGAGAAGAATCTTATTTCAACAGAAGCTAGTCTCCGTTCCTTGCAATCCAAGTGGGAAAGAAAGAGCAGCAGATGAATTCCGACTTATTTAACTTCCTCCAAGATCTCATCTCATTCGGCATAAAAGAAGTACTCAGCTTGTGAGCTAACGCGTGGGAGAACCGCCACTATAAAACCAATTCCCGCTTTTGCTTTGTGACCCATACGAAGGTGTAGAAGGAAAGTCGGATTGATTAAACCTCGGTGCCAGGCGGATGCTATTAAGCTGAGCTGCGTTGCTGCGAACAAGAAGGCGAAGAGGACGGGAATGAGCGTAGCTCCGCTGACGGATAATGGCGTAGCTACGTTCTCTACAAAAATAATCGCATTCGACTAGACCGGTCTAACGGTTTTTCCGGAAGAAAGGGAGATAAGGTAGCTTTCTGCTGTCACATTGAAGGTGACCTCTAGGCGAACAAATCAAGGCGAAGGGGACGATCAAGTAGTCGGCGGAAGGTTGGACCAGCTCACCTTCGAAGGTACGCACCAGCACCAAGGCAAGATCGATACTAGCCTTCGTTCGAAAGACGTCCAAAAGCATCTTTAGAGAATGATGGGCCTGGCGGGGAAGTCACTCCCAAGAGTCTGATGCAAATAATTCTCGAAAAACTGAGTCAAAAGGCCAATGAAATAGCCCAGAAAATGTTGTTTTGCTAGCTAGCTTTTTCTCACTAGAGTTGCACAAGTATGGTCCGATGGATGCGTCACCGGCCCTGGTTTGTTGGTCCTAAGGTGATGCTAGGCCCACTCGTTCTGGATCCGCGCTTTAGGGTGAATCCTTTGATGATAACGTGTACCTGGTTTGGTTTTCCGCCTCTTTGCTTTCGTGGGACTTAGGGCCCAACTGGCATACCGCCAAGCAAAGCCCACTTCTAATAAGAACTGCAAAGAAGGTGTTCCGATCGGGCGCAACGAAGGTAGTCACCACCATAATAGGAAGACCACTAACCACGGGTTGTCCCATAGCAAGGTCCCTTTCCCTGTCTCAGGTGCTAACAGCGAGATCCCCCCAAAGAAAGTTCTACTGAGCCACTAGGCTCGCTCAAGCAGGAGCTAAAGAATCAATTCTTTTTCCCGAGAATGTAGGGTATCTAGCAAAAAGGAATCGAAGTATGTAGCTGATTTGCTACGCAACGAAGAGGAACGATAAATACGAAAGTGGGTGACTTGCGGAACCTTTCAACTGGGCTCCAAAAGAGGTTCGGAGGGGTATATAGCTTACGGAAAGCCTGGACCAACATCGAAAGAAAGTGCAATTTCTGGAACTGCTGATAGACCTTTTCCCTTAACTTAAGGAAGAAATCCCCGTTCACTGCAACTAAAACCTCAGGAAAAGTTATCTAGTTAGACTTTCCCGGTAAAGATTACTAAGACATGGAAAGAAAGATAGCAATTAGTGCTAACTATGACGCCCCTTACTTATCCCTTTGGCTTGAAATATCACTTTACCTACCCTCTCAATTACATTGACCCTCTGTCGCCTTCTACCAAGAAGGAAACTATTCACTACTCATATGGCTCTCGTAGAACGACTACTGATTTGAGTATACTATCAGGCTTTTCTATGACTTCACTGCGCCAATACTTTTGACTTCACTTTGCTTCGAAAAGTTTGTACCCTGTCGATGAAGAATAAAAAGAATCCAGCCATTGCGCTCGGCCCTGGCCAGAAGAGGCTCGATGAAATTGACCTAAGGCGCAGGGGATCTCATCTCTTTTCTGTTAAGAAGAGACGAGCGGGAAAGCGTGACAAACTGAACAGAAGGACCCAACGAACTTTTCGAAGCGAAGTGAAGTCATAGGGCAAGGATGATTTGCTTAGCATTGGAGGGCCAAACAAAATCTGATACAAATCATGGGCAATTACTTAGGTACCAGAATAGCCATATTGTGCAAATGAGAAGACCATAACCCAAGGAATGCCAAGCACATTTTTGTTGCTCCTACAGTTAACAAGAAGCCATTCCTTACATCCAAGAGAGAAAAAATTATCTCCTAAGCAGTGCAACGGGAATTGTAACCAGATATGCTTGACAATAGGGCAATCCCTAGCCATATGCAAGCACGATTCCACACGAGGGTCGATTACATTGAGAAACAAGAACTGGTTGCCACCAAATGTCGGTGGTGAAGTAATGATGCAGTAGGCAGAGACTCATGTAGGAAAGACCAAAGAAAAACTTTCAGTTTCTTCTATGACTGAACTTCGCTTCGCTTTGTTTGTATGGTCGAGACAATTACATCGAACCTTGGCACTTTTGAAAAAAGAGTCATCGGCTATAAATGTCAGCTCCCCAACTCCCTTTTAGGTATCTTCACTACGCTATAGTATAATAGGAGCGACTACCAGCACGCACGGCTAAACTCGAATCGACCCCCACCACAGATTAGCCCCTACTCTACTAGCCAAGAGAAGTCCCTCCTTGATCCCCATTAACTCAGCCTCTATGACAGAAGTGTGCCCAATGTTGAAGACAAAGCCTCCAAGCCACGAACCTCTGCTGTCACGCAATAAGCCCCCCCAACGTCAGCAGTGCGCCAGCCCCGTTTGCTTGACCGCACCATCCGTATTGAGAGCGAGGCACCTTAAAACAGGTAAGGGAGGCGGCACCCATCGAACCCACCTTGGAGTGCGAGCGATCCGTACCACTCTATTAGATATACCAAGCTGCTGTGATATCTTTACTGAGATTCATGGCATAAATTGCCACTTGAACATGGGAAGGGGATGCACCTTCAAACTACCTGAAGGCACCCAACGAACTTTTCGAAGCGAAGTGAAGTCAAAGCAAAGACCCCCAAAATAAAGTAGATGCAAATAAGATACCCGAAATACCAGTAACCATTTCATTCTTTAAAGCATTACCTTTCACCCATTCCCTGAGAGGGAGACCGCCCACACCTGAGATGCCGGGGTTCCCTTGTGATGCCCCATTTGTATTAGGACTGCCTTCATGTCGGGAGGTTCCCAAGAGACAAGTCTAACATCAATGGTTGTAGTTGAGCCCTTAGAAAAAGCTTCAAAAACTTCCAAAGACGTTAGTCTAATATTTTGGATAAAGCTTGCTTCATCCCTTCCTTCCTCTCCTTTACTACTTCTGACTTCACTTCGCTTCGAAAAGTTTGTACCGTTGGCTTACTCGCTTTCAACTCAATTGTATGCAGATTATCTTTTTTAGTCCTTCTCCTCTGGAGTTCTATCGCTAAGCTAAGCCCCTGCTTTTTATGAATTATTCCCAGCTGATCTAGTTCAATTGGTAAGCTAGGGATAGCTAGTTATAGGTCCAAAGCTAGCTCTAGGATAAGGATAATCTATGACTTTCTATATATGGCATAACCCCCTTAAGGAAGGGCAGCAAGCGCAAGTAGCTTTCGGCAGTGAATCACATGTCGAAATACCGAAATGTTTAATCATCTATATTTGTGCTTGGTCTTTCGCCTACCGTGTATGGTGTAACGGCATCTCATGCCAAGAAAAAAGAAAAATCAGGCTTTCACCTGGCTCACAAACCAGAGGCTTTTGCCCGCTCATCATCAATCCCATTCTACTACTCTGTTAGTAGTCATTCTTACTCTTGTCAGTCTCCGGGGGACATCGAACACTTTTCCTTTGGAACCTCAACCCCGGGAACAACCCAATAACTCGATACTGGAAGTGCCTCCCGTCGGCAAGTCTGTAACATATTATATTGGGCAGATTCACAGCTTTCAATGCCTCAACCCCTGAGACAGGCAATGCGAAGCTACCTTTGGCCACCGGAGACCTGCCTGGCCCGTTAAGACAATGAGGCACTTGTTGGGCTTTCACAGGATTGCAGAATAATAAGTGTGAAGTTTTGGCTATGAGAGTTGTATTCAGGATCTCTGTATTAGGTCCTTACTACCAGATGTTAGACGGGTAAAAGAAAAAGAGAAAGTAGCCATTTTAAGGCCTGGTATGAACCAATAGAAGAAGGGATTGCCCAACTGTCTCATCTCGTGCAGCAGGAGGTTTAATAGTCAGTCTTCTTTTATCCACAGAATCCGATGCAATTGATGGAGATTCTTCTTGGCTTGGCTTAGCCACTAAGGAGTCGTTTTGGCTTTTGACCAAGAGAACGAGCGTCACATAAAAGGTACCACCGAAAGAAGGCGCGATGATAATTGCCCTCGGTTAAGCATTCCGGTTTAATAGGCGAGGGGAAAGATGAGCATCATTGCCAGCTAGCCTGCCTCCTAGAAGGATAGACAGACAAGGACGGGAGAGACATAGTCCGCCCTAAAGTAAAGAAGGATTGATTCCCCTAGGGGCTCTTACCACCATTCCCTAGAACGACATAGGAAAGGGAAAAGCTCTATTATTGGATTTTGAATCAGCTGCACATGAAGCTCTGGGACTTGAAGGAATAGAATGCCCCCTTAGAATGGACAGGGGCAGTCGATCATTGGCTTAATTGCCTCCCTTTTGGGACTCGAGTATCAAAAATTCCCGGTATTTCGTCGTGAAAGTCTCACATTTTTCTTCTTCTGGAAAGAACCGAATGGACAAAGGGAAAGGGTTTACATGACCGCTCGTTTTGGAAAGATGCCATAGTAGTTGAAGAAGGGCTTTGTTTGCAAAGGTCTTCTTCTATCACACTGAAGCTTGAAAGCCTTTTGGACAGATAGCGTTGGGAAGGAGAGAAAGAATTTCTACCAGAGGGGGGCTCCTATCTATAAAGAAAGAAAGGGCAGGCCGGCATAGAGGCCTTAGAAAGCACAGACTGCCTTGACTCCCACTGCTTCTTTGCTTGCTTGGGCAGACTGCCTTGTCCGCACTGATAGGACAGCTAGCCTTGCACAAGAGACAGGAAAGAGGCTGACTAGGACCGATGGGAGGGAGCTGGCTTGCTACCGTTTGACTGACTTGCTTTTCTCCCTTCTTGGCTTCTTTTTACAGCCTGCTTTCAAACCTCGGGCGAAGGCCCCAGAAAAAGAGATCATTAGACAGGATAAGAGCTGCGATAGTGCACGGCATCAAATGACGAGTTCGAAGATTGGACTTTTAGCCTTTCCTTTCGAGGAAATAGGTGTAAGCCTGAAAAAAAACTCTTCTTCAAGGTTAGCCCCTCAATGTAATCGACCCTCTATAAAAAAGGACTTCGGCCTTTCATACATATATGCCCGTTGGCTGCTTTCGTAACTTATAATATATATAGCGGGCACCGCGCGTTTTTGGTTTATCTTCCACTGTGTCTTTATCTTCAAAAAAACTGGAAAGGAATTCGGAATTTCATTTTCATCAGACGGCAAAGGATTTTTGGGGGGTTGCTAAAGCGGAGAAGACTTAGCCGGGCGCATGCCCATACAGTAAGTACAGAATTTGCGGAAGAGTGTTCAGTCCTAAGTGCTTCGATAAAAGACTAGTTTGCAGGCCTTCAAGCAGGCGAGGAAGTACCGGGACAAGTAGTCTCTCCAGCAGTTTCTCATAAGGCAGCTCAGTCATCCATTTCCATTGGGAGTTCGATTACAGCCATTTACATTCCTGCTGGATGCACTTGAAGCCTTTCATTCAATTGCTTTGAGTGGATCCAAAGACACAACAAGAGAGTCGGTGCCCTTGCACCCACTCAGTCAGTATAGAGCTTGATTCACTCTTCCCTTATTTATAGTAGTAGTGGGGGAAAGAAAAGTGAAATAGAATCATACTGCTGTTAGTAACTAGTTTACCCCTAAAAGTTTCTTCATCGGGACCCGGCCCAGCTCAATTACATCGACCCAACTTAGAAGCGAAGCGAAGTTCAGTCATAAAAAAGGACTATCCCATAAAGAAAAAAATGGTAATGGTCAAAGCAAATGCTACTGATTAAAGAAAAGAGTCTTCTTCTTTTTTAGCTCAGGATTTTTGCAGAAAGTGACATTGTATAAAATAACTGTTGCACTCTGTGGCGGGATGCCTCCTTCTCGTAATAAGTAATATTAAATGAGTTGCACCGGGAAAAGGCACCTGTTCAGAGAAATCCTCTCAAGGAAGGCAACCCAAGAGAAGAAGTCCACTCCTCCCAAGAAGAGGACCGAAGGTCCGAGGAACCAAGCCTTGAGACCGAAGGTAGCACATAAGACGATGTGTAAAGCGTAGCAGCATCAGCCGACTAAAGAATGGCTCTGGCTTTTCCCTCTCTTATACGCTATTTGCAGTTAAGTTCCTTGCCTTAGGTCAATCCCTTCCTTGACGCCTTCCCTGCTCTTTTCCTTGATGCGGAGAAGATATAGTTCTTAGTTAACCCCCTGGCCAGTTAAGAGAGTTCGAGGCATAGCCCAGGTGCTTTTAGCGAAGCCGGAATGAAATGTTGTTAAGGTAGTTCCGCCGAGGGTGACATCACCAATGAAAAAAAAGGAGAATCTCGTCAGAGAAGTGTCACTTTGAACAGCTATATGAGATCGAACAAAATAAGAGAAAGCGTAGTAAAGTCAGAAGTATTGGCGAAGTTCAGTCAAAGACCAAAAGGAGAGAGTGGAGATCGGATTTCTTGTCCAATCTCCTTTAGGACTCATGGCTTTGTGCCAAGTATCATAGGGGAACCATATTCGAATACTCTTCTTTCTTTATCGATTGGGTTGGTGTTCCGTGTACCGCACCGAAGCTTGTGTAGCTTATTTAGTACTTTTCCTTCATTTCGCTTCGCTTCGTTCGTTGGGTCGACAAAGTTGAGTCGACTGTGAAGGAGAGGAAAGAGTGACTCCGTATATTTCTGTTTTATGCTTAGAACTGTTGGCTCATATGATATCGAGTTTAGTTGGCGCTGGTGTGTGGAAGCCTATTCAAATTGCTCGCCATTGTCCCTCTCTATCGCATGTGTTTTTTGCTGACGATATAGTTTGATTTGCTGAGGCTTCTGTTGAGCAAATGCAGGTTGTGCGTAATTGCCTGGATAAATGTTCAGGCCAACGGTTGAGTTTGTCGAAGTCGCAAGTGGTGTTTTCGGCCAATGTTCATCCTGGTCACTAGCATATCTTTGACAGGAGGAATTGCCCGAGGCAATGTAAATTGTTTTCTCAATTACATCGACCAAACCTCTCCTCTCCCAGTAAAGTTCCGGTCGTCCTCCTTCCCTTCTTTGATCTTATGCCCTTGCTTCCCGCCTTCTCGTATATAAGGATTCGGCCGGCTTCCTCAATTGGTGGTATTAATGCTCTTCCTAGCGCTATCCAGTTTGTTTCCGACCGAGTATTCTAACTCCAGCGTAGAGACATATTTCATTTATCAGTCAGCAATCGTAGAAATCTTGCTTTTCTTGACCCTTGTGATTGATCGCGAGGCCAGTTGTCTTGGTTGGAACTAAATATCCGGATTAAAATGCAATCCAGATCGAGGCTTTTACCCACTCCACTCGTAATCTCGACTTGCCAGTTTCCGACCAGCAAGAAAACGGATGCGCGTTAGCGCAACGGCTTTCGCGCTAGTTGCTCAATCCGTTGCTTGTTCTCTCGAGCTCCAGTTCTTTTCTTATTACGGTTCCGAAACCGGATAAGGCCGCTCATACCGTCTCCTTCTCTTCCTCTGACTTAACCAACTATGCAACTACGGGTAAGGGCTTTGAATCTCTTCTTTTGAATCGGATCGCTCGATCCCTAGGAAAAGATCTGTTTCAGTTGATCTCCTTTCCTTCTATCGAGCGGTAAAAGAAAGCAATCTCTCAGGATTGATCGCTGCACTTCTTCAGAAAGGACTTCAACTTCTTTGTAATTCCTCAACTGAAAAGGGCAGGCAATTCTCCATCTCTCTATTCCCCAACCCGATTGGTAAGACCAACTCCGATCTCTTGACCGCTTCTTTGGACTCCTAACGGCTATCACTACTCGCAAACCGGCTCCGGTACCGTATTTACGAACCTGAGAGCAAGACCGACGGGAAGATCCACTTCCCAGTAGAGGACCCCAGGTACCTAATTGAAGCCCTTTCCCGCCTGCATCTGGAATCTGCAACCCTCTTTTTTACCATATTGAACAACCTGACAGGCATACCTATGGAAGACCTTAACGCTTGCCTTCTTCCGACCAAAGGACTCGTAATCCCTTGCCCTAAAATAAAAGGGCTGGCTTCCCGAAACCATGACTTGGAAACCTGGCCTTTTTCCCGATCTCTGAAATCGACCCTTCGAAGACATATATGGAAAAGGGGCGTTTGCAACCCCTAATGTATGATTTGACCTCAGGGAAAGTGCTTTCACAAGACCGTTTACTGAACACATCTCTGAAACAGCCCTCGCTTTGAACAACCCGATCTCAGGACTTGATTGAAGGCTGCGCTGGTTTAGCAGGACTTCCAAGGACAACTACTCTCAACTCTGAAACCACTGAACTGGACTTCATCGATCGCATGGCTAGAAAGACAGGACTTCCACTTGACCGGTTAATGACAAGACAACGCCTGCGGGAAAGGAGCAACACTTGCTTTCGCTTGAAACCTTGGTTTGTAACTCTCTCTTCGTTTCCTACCCGATCTTTGGAACTCTCTTTCCCTGCTAAGAATCATACCTTTGCTTTGTTCGATATGCTAGTCCTAGAGGAGATGTCGATTGACTGAAAGCAGTGTAACACGAGCTCTTGAACGTGTACGCTTTCTTTGATTCGTTCCCTTGTTTAAAGCGATATTCGAAGGAATTGCCTACCCGAAGGAGTTAACCATTATCGTCAAGAGAACGATTAACCTCGACCCTTGTTATATACCTACGCCAGATCTCTTGCCAAGTTTTCGACCCCTCGATGACATATATGGAAAACGGGCGTTTGCCGACCCTCGTGGGTGAATCATCCTTTGCGATTGGCAAGAGGCCTCCATTGTCATAAAATCTTTAGGTCAAACAACCAGCATATCTATATATACGCGTGTATGGCAAGGACAATCAGTGCTAACACCGAAGGCAAAGGACTGCATATTGCCTGGTCTTTCTAGGACAATATACGAATAATCCAGACCGAAGGAGCATATGTTGGCAGGTTCCGGTCCAAGGTCTCAGGTAAGGTCCCGGTAGAGGTAGACAGGTTTACGCTTTAGCCCTTTCTTAGAAGAGTTGCTCTTCCGGGTAGGTAGCAGGTCAAGGGATCAGAGAAGAGCATATATACGCGTGTAATAGAGGTAGGTCAGTAAACAGGTCAGGAACCCGATAGACTAGCGAAGCACTTGTTGCGTAGCGAGCTCAGGTTCAGGATAGGCGATAGCCACCTGTGACAGCTTTTGCCCTAGAGTTCCTCGTTCGAAGAGTCTAGGTAATGGATACAGGACTCGGACATGAGTAGTATTCCTGACAGTGATTGAATACAGGAGTAGTTGACCGTGTAGATGTTTCTGAGTTCTTGTTGTTAGGCGACTGGGCTTTCGCTCTTAGAGCTCCCTTGCTTTAATACGACTAGAGGAGGTATTGTACACACCACCGGGAAAAGAATACGAGCTGAACCCCTTGGCATTGGCTGTCGTATCTCTGCATCGCTTGACCTCGGGCTTTCGTTAACGACTGGTCTTAGGATTCTTTCCTTTGGTTCGACTCCCTCCGTAGTTTCCGACCCAGCTTTCGCAGTCCTTGATGAGCTGCTTCTTAAGATCCGACATGCCTTGTTATTGCTTTCCCTACGATGCGGCTGCTAGAGCCCGCTTCAAAGAGCTCCCGTTCTAAAGGACAACGCCTAGAGAAGGTATGGAATACCTACCCGAAGGCCAAAGAATACGAGTTCTGGTGCCTGGAGCTCTTCTCTTTGCTCTTGTTGTTGGATCTGAACCCGTGAGCCTTAGCAATTGTATGACTCCTGCCTTTGTAGCTGCCCTTGAGCTTTATCCCTGCTCTCAGAGTCCTTCTTCTTGTTGACGGCCCAGCTTTCGCTGTGTTCTGATCCTCGTTCCTTTGTTTGATACGATATGATACGGTATTGAAGACACCACCGGCATATTCATACACGAGTTATTGACCATCAGCTTTGGCCTGGTATGACTCGTCCCTCGTTCACTCGTTGTTGACCACCAGCTGTGGCAGTTAACCGAGGTTCCTCTTCTTCTTTCGACAAGACGCGTTATTGACTCTCCTACGGCATATTCATACGGCTGCTAAACCCGTGAGCATTGGCATTCACTCTTGGAGTTCCTGTCTTCAACGGCCTAGCCTTAGCCCTCTTTCTCAGAGTACCTCTTCGAGTGGTTGACCCCCAACCCTTACTATCTTTGATTCGTTCCTTTGTTTAAAGCCCAGCGTCAAGGAAGAAGCGTAGCGATCCTGTCAGGTGAAGAGTTCGGGTTGAACAACGACTGCTAAAGATCAGGGGTCTAGCTGCCCATTTACTAGCCTGCGGTCAACCGATGGAGATGTCCTTTCGATCGCTTACAAGCGCAGGAACTCGTTTACCATGATATATCGCTTAGATACCGTATGAATATGCTTTCAGTAAACCAATTCTCTTATCACTTTAAACAAGAGGAGCTCAGTAACTACCATTCTATTCGCTTTCTCGCCGTATTGTATTAATTTCCCGTAGGTATCGTCCATAATGAGGTATATCGTATCAAACTAAGCAAGGAAAGCGGTATTCATGTTCCTTCGGTATCGGCACAAGTGAAGTCGAAAGCAAGCAAAGGAGCTCAGCTTTGAAAGAGAGTTCCAAGGAAAGAAGCGATCAATCCAGAGATGAGGGAGTTGTTGTCCTTTATTGAAAGCGGGTATCGAACCCCAGAGATGAGGTATTCATTTCCATGCGGTGTCTTCAATACCTTTCATATCGATGTCAAGGAAGAAGCAAAAGCTGGTCTTTATCAATGAAGAGGCCTGCCGAAGGTGTCTTCCAAACCAGGCATATCGTTGTCATGTCGAAAGAAGGAGGTGAACTGGGATTCTCTCTAGCAATGTTTAGTCGGGGTTTAGTAAGAGACTCAATTACATCGACCCTCGTGAAAAAGCTCCCATTTGTTTAAAGCAAAGCGGGAAAGAGCAGTCCAACGGTTGTAGACTTTCTGAGCTATGGAGATATAATGGCTATTACCTATGGCATTCCTACAACAGGAAAGTGAGTCCCCACACAGGTGGTATTAGCCCCGCCCAGTCTTTAAGATGCCCTTTTAGGAGCCCTGAGCGAAACCGAATTCCTCTTTTTGACGGATGTAGATTAAGGAATTGACCACAGGTTCTGACCCCTCTCACCCAGACCACTGGAAGGACTATCCGCAGGTCCACGCCCTCAAAAAAAAAGTGATGGAGTACAGCTAAGCGAATAACCATCGGTTCTGGTACTGGCAAGTGTGGGTTGGAATCCTTCTCTCCTGACACAGCCCGGAATGAGGTCTTTTTCGAAGCCTAATTCAGTAAGGGTTGACTATTTCGCCTCTTCTCCTTAGCTCCTTGTGCCCTGGGCTGCGAGAGGATTGGACTAATCGATGAAACTGCCATTTAACGCCCCTTGGGTCGCCGCTAGGATGAATCACACGCAGGGGGTACAGAAGTAGAGTTTTCGATAAAGGAACAACTACAACTAGAATGTGCAACTTCGAGTAGTATGTGTTAAGCATATAGCTAGCGGATTTTCAAAATCTAAAAATTCTTAGCAAAACACGGGTTTTTTGGTGCTAAAATGACAAATTCTTGAAAAAACTTTATATACGATAATAGTTTTTCGTCTTTCAACGATCAAAAGTAGGTCTAAAACGAGAAATAGTCCATATGTTAGCGTTAGCTCGTTAAAAAGTAGAAAGGTTCGATTCCTCGCTGCTCGGATCTATATCGATATAGATGGGGTAGGGCACGCGGAAAGAGGATACCGAAGGCAGTCAGTAAGATGATATGGCGATTTGGTGAGTTGCCTGCCTGTGTTGACGATGGCTTGGCAAGGGCGCGCCTGAGCCCTATTTATGTGGGCGTAAAACCGTGTTTTCGAGGACCTCGCGCTGAAGCACTTTCGAAGGATTGTCTTACATTGGGTACTGCATCTATCCTTTCATAACAGTGGTCTTATCGTCAAAGTGCATTCAATTCCAACAAATCGGATAAAAACCTGGCTTTCTTTCAGGGGTCTATTTTCACTAATGTTATTAGTGGAGCTGAATAACATTGCAAACTCATATACGAAAAGAGCCATCGGTGATATTTGCTGCTGATGCAATATATATTATATGAGAGCATAACCCCTTAGAAGCGGAGCCAAGGGATCCAGTCTTCCCTGGTTCTGTCTTATCCGGTTGTGGGTTAAGGTCCTTCGAAAGGAGCCTTCGCAGCGAGTATTCCATATCGGGTGGCGCAATACGAATGACGACGGTCTGGGAGTAGAAACCAGAGGTGTGTCCAACCCAAGGGGTTAAGAGTCCAAGGGTCTGAGGAACAAAGGCAAAGCCATGTACCTTTATCGTGAGAATCGTCCACGAGAGGTCCCAAATGCACGTTTTCCATATATGACTTCGAGGGGTGTCTTCCATATCTGTTATGTCGTATCGAACAAACCAAAGGAATTCATCTTCCATGTCTTCTCACATCGATGTCAAAGGAAGAAGCATGAATGCGGGTTCTCCATATCAATGTCAATCCTTATCAAACAATCAGGGGTCTATGAGAAGAAGGATGAATCTACCGTTGGTATCATCAATCACAAGCAATGTCGAAAGCAATGGAACGAGTCAAAGAAAGAGTTCTAAATGCAGGGTTTTTATCAACAAACCGAGCTAAAACAGGAGCCTAGACGCTTTTCTTGTTCCTTCGAAAGCAGCGAAAGCTGGTCTTCAACGAGCGTTGCGATTGATGATGTCCTTTCTTTGAGTCGTGTTTACGTCCTTTCTTTCGAGCGATCAATCAATCCAGAGATATGGTTTCAGAGAGATGGAATCTTCAAAAGCTGGAGTCGAACCTTTGGTGAGAGCTCCAATGCTGATGCCTTAAACAGAGGAGCTAACAAAGAATACAATGCCTGGGGTGTCGAAAGCCATCCGTTAAGTCGTGCTGTCAGGAGTCCCTTAACAAACCGGCTATTCTCTCTATAAATGAATATGTATTCAGATGCCGTAGGTAAAGGAATAGCTGGTCTAGTACTAGTCCTGGAAGAAGAGCAGCTATGGAAAGCGGGACCTAGCTCCTGTGTTATGGAGCCGTAGGTCAAATCTACTCATGTGGAATCTTTTGAAAAGCAGCTCATCTCTAAAGCTAATCCGTAAAGACGAGGGACGAGTCATACCAGGGCCAATGCTCATGGGTTCAGATCCAACAACTGGAACGAATCTACTACTCCTCATCTACTAGACCTATCAATCATATGCGCCTAGCTACCGTGTTAAAGAGTTGTAGGGAAAGTCAACACCTCGTACTCTTCTCCTCTTCTTTCTCTTGTCATCTCTCTTGCTGGTGTTATGCAGGGGTATGATTCTACCGTTGGAGAGTCCATTGCTGTCATGTCGAAGTCCTGTCCTATCAAGCAAAGGAATATCGTATTTAACAAGAAATGTGTATGAAAGCACCGTAGGTGTCGTCAATACCATGCCATATCGCTAGAAAGCCAAGGAGAGAGCGAAGCGGGTGGAAGAGCTGCGGTAACTCCCATGTATTCATGTTCCTTCGGTATCGTCCATAACTCTGTCCTTTCGAAAGAAGAGGTGCTCAGTAAAGAGAGTATGTAAGCGTATCGATCAACAGATGGAGAGTAGCTGTCCAAAGCTAGCGCGCGTATAACGAGCGATGTGTTGTCTCCTGCCGTTGGGATAGCAGGCATATCGTAGTCCTAGAGCGAGGAAAGAGAAAGCGGTGGTTGATGTTCAAAGAAAGAAGAGATGCGATTTCACTCATATGTATGAATTGGCCAAAGGGATAGTCAATAGTGGTCTTTCTCACTCTTAATCCCTAGCTCGAGATATTAGGAACTCAATCCAGGATCTATCGATTTGGGCGGGTGGACTTGCCACTTCAGCTAGATATTCGAACTTGAACGAACCTGATCCGGATATTAGGAGATACCCAAATCCAGAGTTCAGGAAAAACTCTTTCCGATCGACTCCTCCCATCTCGTTTATTTAATAGGACTCTGATTTCCAACTTTCCATCCAGAAGGAGATAGATCGGGTTTGACTCGTCCTTCGACAAAACAAAGATATGACTCTGAATCCCTAGCTTTATGATGGATTCCAAGCAAGGGGTCCAGAACTCTCTCTTACCAGGATTTGAATTCTTTTCCCAAGGTACGAAACTCACCTATTTGGGCAAGCTCGTTTAGAAAAGGCAGGAAAGACATCTTTTACATCGATCGACGAATTTATCCGAATTTCTCTGTCAGAGATTAGAAGTGTATTCTTGAGTTCATTCCCGTCTTTCGAAAGAAGGAAGATGCGGTAGCAGATGGCTACTCGGTCCGAAACTCACATATTCTGATTATGCGCAAGCTCATTTCCCAGTTTTCGAAGTATCAGCAAGTAAGACCAAATCGACTCTTTTCTTTTGGTTTCCCATTCCTCGATCAAAGGCAGGAAAGCATTCCCCTCTTTTACCAAGGGACCAAACTGGGTAAACTGCTCACGCTTTCGGCAAGCTCAGTTACCAGTCCACCATTAAAGTGCTCGTGCGAGATCCCAAAGTCAAGTGACAGGAGCTCGGCTCTTTGCTTTTGGGCCAGATTAGGCGCTAGAAAGGAACTCGCTTGAGCTATGAATTCCCAAGATCCGAAACAACTGGACAGCATATATCCATATAGAGAGGCGATTTCAATACCCGAGAAAGGTCAGATCAGAGTCAGCTCCTGGGCAGCTCGCTTGAGCACTTCAAAGCAGGCGATTTCCCAGGTCTAGCTCGAGTTTCCAGTCTATGGGCCTAAAGAAGGGGCAAGGAAATTCCCCTCCAGTCGTGTGACTGCAAAGAAAGAAGAAAAGGAGATCGGGTTGGTCCTGGAATCCAATTTCGATTGGAGTTGCCGTTGAGGAATAAGAACTCCCTTTCGGTTAGCGGTTAGCGATTCCTTCGAACGATTGGGCTTGAAGCTTTAGACAAACCGGCCAGAAAGCGCATCAAGAAATAGAGGTACTCAGGGAAACGAAATGGAATCCTGTATTCCCTGAAGTCCTCGGATTGAGAAACTTAGCTACCAGGGATGGCATCAGAGCCACGAGGGTCGAAAACAAGGAAGACCATTCTTTCGCTATCAGGTCTTTCGCCAGTTCAGGACTCGTCAAGTTAGGGCAAATCAAAAGAAAAGAAAGGGGTCCGAAACTCCAGCTTTCCACCATTTAAGAGTCGCTCAGAACTGATCGATCTGCGGATAAACACCCGCTTGAGCAATTACCCGCTTTGTTTGGGGCTCGGAAGTTCGAAGTTGACCTCAGGTACAAGACAAGGACTGATTCGACAAGCTAGTCAATTCACAGTCCTGAGATCGAAATCCAAGTTTGGAAAACCCAGTTTACCATTGCTTAGGAGATAGCGGATTGGGCAAGCTAATTGACCAGATTAGTCCTTGGGCTGAAGCTCGGAAGATTAGCCTCGAGACAGATCCAGAAAGAATGGGGTGAGGACCACGGCCCGAGATTTCTATGCGGAAAACCCACGCTACGAGGTTTTATGATGATAAACCAGATATTTCAAATAACGGGAACAATGTAAAGAATAAACCGTTGTTTCTAAGTATACTTAGAGGTCTTGTCTTTCTTCATCAGGGATTGGTACTTGTCTTTAAACCAATCTATCGGGCTCAGGTTTAGGTTCCTCCGTAGGAGGTTCCAAGGTTGGAATAATACCACTGACTGAAAGAGGCAAATCCTCACTTTCTTCCTATCAGTTGAGCTAATTTTCTTATTGTTTGTTGCTATTCTTGTTTCTACCAGCTTTCAGGCTTTCAGTGTAGCATCTGTGTTATCAATAACACCTGAGAAGAGGTCAATTATATCGAGCCTTTCAGGTCTGTGTTTTCACTTGCTCAAACCGAGTAAGCAACATTCCTTTCTCTTTGAGAAACTACCAGCTAATTGGACTGAAGTGGGGAATGCGGTGAGCACCTGGAACTCCTTCACTACAAGCTCTCGGCTCTGGAACTCGTAGGTAGCGGCATATCGTTTAGCACAGATCCGGCAGGGGCAAGACTCTCCTTGCAGCCGAGTGCAAATCCGAATTCATTTTTCGTATTATAGTCCAAGATATGCAAAAGTAAAGTACTCTATCGCTAGTGCTGTCAATAGCATATGTAATGAACAAGTAACATCAACTACAACTACCGAAGGTAAGGCAACACTCCTAGCGCTAAGAAGCATAGAAAGCCCTCACGCGCGCACTCTATCAGACTATGAATTTCTTACCTTTCCCTAACCCATAATCGATGCAACTGCACTCTGTCTTTCAAGGTATGAACTTACCTTCCATATGGTTAGCTCACCTGGAAAGCATACCACAGCATCTTCTTATCATTCTTACTCAGAAGAAGATTGAAAGATGTCATAATGTCTATGACGTGGAAGGTGGTCCGGGGAACAAGAAGAAGTTTTTTCGGTGCCAGTAGGGAAAGTAGGATTGGTCCAATAAGACTCTGACTGAATAGCCTACCTAATAAAAAAGACATATTGGACTCGGACCAGCTACTTAAGAAGCTGTTATTGTTCGCGACTCTGTTCATCTGCGCTCGAAAGCTACTTCAGGCAGATCCAGTCTGATGACCTTATCCGGTATTGATAGATATCCTGTGAGAGTGCGTGGGATCTATTCCCAAAAGAAAGAATATATAGTGGTTGTAGAGAGGGGTGTAAGCCTGGTAAAAAGGGTTCCCTAGTAAGCCAACCATGAAAGCCTGTTCGGACTGCTCATAGGTAGAAGGATATGCGCCGAGGATCACCTTTTTATTAGGATGAGTTTCAATCAAAACAATTTCTTCCAACCTTTCGATCTTCCCTTACTCCTTGCCTAATCCCCTGGATTAAGCTTCTTGTTCTGAGACCTGATAGTCACCTACAAAGCCTTCTTCTTGGTTCTACGCTTTAGCAGGTTTTAGGCCAAAACCAGGATGTACGAGAACATAATTGGAAGAAATAAGAATTCGCGAAAGAGCTAACATCTCAAGAACAGGTCCGAGGGAATAGGAAGAGAAAGCCCACTTAGAAAGAATAGCAACCCCGAGAGCTTCCTTTGCCAAAGCATAGGCCGGGCGAAAGAAGTCCAATTCAAAGGCGAGGGCTGATGTAATTGGGTTCCTTCTTGGTATAATATAAGTAGTAGCTTAAGGCTGAATCCTAACTGACGAAGAGAGATCTCCAAGCGGTCAATACTGAATTGACAATTGGGAACGAATTCCATCTGCCGGAGTTAGGTTTGAAACCATCACTTCCGAAGACTATTATACTATTAAAAGGGCGAGCTTCCTTTCAACAGATAAGAAAGCAATGAGTTGGAGCTTCAAGCAAGGACGTATCGAAGAACTGGGTGACTTATTCAAAGGGTGAAAGCGCTTACCGAACATACTATGCTTCTGTTGAGCTTTGTGAGACATGGTGTTGATCCCTCGCTTAAGAAGTTAGTCATGGGGGAACCTTAGGCTGGATCGAATCCTGAGACGAAACCATCTCTATTTAAATCGTAGATAAAGTTCAGTGATTGATCTTTCCTGTCTTTTGCCTTCCTTCTTTAGGGGCTTCTTTAATCGATAGTGCTTGCCTTTCCACAAGGTTGACGTAGAACTGATAGGTTGAATGTCCTATCCGAAAGCGAACTCTATTCCCTTCGGCCTAAACCTTCCTTGCTCTTTATGATAGATAGGCTATCGAGGTTTGGCACGCTTACTTCCACTTCACTACGAGGAGCTTTAAGCCCTACGATCGTAGATCCATCTGAAAAAGCCGTTTTTGGATTTTCTTTTTTATGGATTTTTTCCTTCTCTATTAGGTGGCCAGGATTGCTAGGTGGTGGAATTCTTGGGAATGCTAATTCGTTTCAGGAGTTAGGATAGAGTTTGCCTTAGCTGATGGGCATATTTTGGGACCCTTCTTCTTTCTTCGCTTACGAAAGAGATTCAAGTTACTATTCCCGGTCCGTCTAAGATGAATGAACCTATTGATGGAAAGCTTCTAAGGATATTCGCTGCGGTGGTAGTTTCGAGTCTTGATTCTTCCTTGTCTTCGGACCTTGTTTTCAGAAGTCTTTGTCCTAAACTCCCTTACGGCCATTCCTCATATAAGTTATTTCGTAAAAGAAGTCAATCAACCAAGACAGGCGGAGAAGGAGAAGACAGCTAGTGAAGGAGACTTTCTTGTCAGTTTTATGGCCAACAATCTTTCGTATTCAATTCAAGTCTCTTCCTCTTACTATTCCTTGGTCTCGCTTTCTTTCCCTCAGACATCAAGAGCTCTTACTGGAACTTCTAAGACTAGAACTGGTACGTGAAGAGTTGATACGAGAGCAGCGGGTACGCATTCAGTCTATATAGAAAGCTATATAGTTTCAATGTCAGTTGCCTTCGGTGCATTTTCAGTAAAAAGAATATAAAAATCCCTAGTCAGCGTATCGAATCTCCCAGACTTTATCGAGAGAGTTCGAGGGGTTTACCTTCTACCCATCCTAACTAAGCTCTTCAATTGCTAACTAATATGCGGGGTTGGGGTTTTCGAAGGAATGGAAATTCTAGATTGAGTTCTCTTGAGACTCGCTCTTCCAGTCCATCGATCTCAGGCAATCCACCTCGCTTGGTCGTAGGAGAAGAAGAATAAGGACAAAGAGAGAAGTTAGCGGATATCCGAGGAAGGCCAAAAGAAAGGGATTTCCTGCTTCCTTTCCTAAGAAAATATTCTAAAAAAGAATCAGATCTCTTGTCTTGGGCCATATGTACTGAGGGTGGCGCCTCTGGGAGACATGGTCAACCGATCTTCGAGGATCTGATTGAAATTCCACTTTTTGCAGAGATAAACTTTCTTAGTCAGACTGACTTCCTTGATAGGTGAAACTTCCACGAAAGCACGGATAATAATAATCTGAGTATGCAAGGACTGAGGAGCTTCGGTGTGTTCTTTGCTTCTAAATTACATCTATCCTCCGCTGCTGCTAAAGGAAATGGTTCTTAGGTCGGTGAAACTGTCCCTGTAGCTAAAGTAAAGCCAGTTCATTCATTCATGGCAATCGGTCTAGTAAGGAAGAAGTGAGCTGTAGCCTTAGTCTTAGTACGCGCACTAGAAGGGGCTACCGAATGCGCCAGTGAGAAAATCAAATATTATTTGTGTGCCGCGAAGGGCCTACCCCTTGAAAATGGAAGGGCATGGAGAAGCGGATTCCTACTTCTTAATAGCTTGATCGACCACCATCCTTATTGACCTTCCATCGGGTTGGTATGCTTGTGTCTCAAGCAATCCTGCTTCGGTAGCAGACTTCGGTCAAGGAAATCGCTTCAAGCAATGGCTTTGGATCGACCTGACGAGAGGAAAGCCAGTGAATGAAATCCGTTGAATTAAGAAGTCTTTATGGCTCAAGCAGCTAGCGGACATCCTTCATTGAGAAAGTCAAGCATGTCAGCACGCCCCCTACCTATGTAGTCGGCTTCCCGGTGGTTTGCGGGACGCTATTGGAATCGGTCTATCTAAATGGCCTATCTCCATATGTATGTATTCTTGAAGTCCCTTTCTCTTCCCTTCCCGGGCATTGATTGAGAGGGAATAGACTTCCCCACTGAACGAGGAAGGCAGCAATCTCCTTAAGATAGAAGGGCAATCCAAAAAAGGCCAGAGGAGACATTCATTAATAACGGATCTCGACCCGTACTGATGGGAATGACGGGCACTGCATCTTAATAAGCCGAGGAACTGAACCAATGACTTTCTTTAAAGGCTGGCATCCCGGACTGATAAAGGATCAACTAGACCTAGACCCGCTCGAAAAAGCAGGATTGCTTTAATGGAAAGAAGAAAACGGAAAGGACAACCAAACGAAACCGCTAACAGCAGAGGTCAGTATCCATATATAGTAGAGCTCGCTTACCAGACGAAACCAGGCCTTTCATTAAGGCTGGAGAAGAAGCTATCGAACAGTGTTTTATAGAAAGATCAAGAAGATATCCAAAGATAAGTCAATCAACGAAGCCGGTAAGGAATTGAGAAAATTCACCAGTGAGAAAATCAAATCTTGTTTGTGTTCCGGGGAATAAAAAGGAGAAAGAGCAATGAATCCCCTTTGCTTTCTGTATGGATGGATATAGTGGGCGTACTTTCTTACCTGTCCACTCAAGGCATTGCAAGCAAATGGTTTTTGAAAAGCGCTAGAAATCGTGGTCAACTTTTTTCCAGTGCGGGTTTGACCTTTATTTGGTATACTCTCATGTCGTACTACCACAGCCTCAGCCGCTGCAGCAGTATCCTCATCAGATACAGATTCATATACTACTTATTGCGACATATGTTTAACTAGCCTTCGGGTGGAAAAAGATTAGCAGTTAAAGGAGCCGCATCCAAAGCAATGAAATTGTGTTGCGGAAATGAGTATACTCTTGTGGTAAATTTACTGGTATTCAATCAATTAGGTAACTCTTAGCAAGTGCTACGAGTGCTTCGTACTATATAGAAGTATGGGAATTTTTCCTCTTCTTTATATCATATACACTATTTGATCAAGGAGAAGGCGGGGGACCAGTAAAGCATCAACCATTTAAACGGATCCATCTTTTCTTAGTCCGATTCGATCACTCTATCGAGTAGAAGTACAGGGATGATTCAATCGATTCCTAAGACCTTGAAGGGCGAAAGCCCAATCATCAATCACTTCACGGACGCGAGTAGCCAACCCCAAAACGCAAGAATCAAGGGGAGCGGAAAGAAGCTTCACCGATTCCGACTCTAATCTCAGGCTTCATTGGTAAGGTAAGGAAGCGTAGCAGCTCCAACATCGAATCGGGCAATTCCTCTTCCAGCCCTTGTGACATCAACAAACAAAGCGAGTTGAGCACGAACACTTTTTCGGAGATGACTTCTGTCAATAGGCAAGTAGCGCCCAATCGAGCGAGAGAAGATAGGGATTTCTCCCAGCACTCGAAGACCAAGAGAAGAGGATGTGAATTGGCGAGGATACGAGTGAACCCGCTTGCCCGAGTCCGAGTTGACGAGGTGAAAGAGTTCAGACTAGGACAGTTCAGGCCGGTGGAAGCCAATGAAAGGGAGAAGCGTTCAACCACTAGAGCAGAAGCCGAGTATAAGATCGCCCTTCTCTTCTATGATTCGGCCGTGAAAGAAGCCCACTTCACCTTCTCTCTTGGGATGGGAAAGATCAAATGAAGCAAGCCCGTGCTTTAGATCAGCTAATTGGGAAAGTAGCCCTGATTCTATATCACATTCTTCAGAGAAAAGAACTGTCCTTCCCTGACCCACTTTGAGTCTCCGTAGGGAAACCGGCCTGGCAAGGAGGCTAGAGGAAGGAAACTGCTCAAGTGAGCTTGAAGCAACAAGGGCAGTGGGCTCAGTTCCCACGCGGGGAAGAACGTTCATAAGTAGAGCTGCTCCTGCAGTTCCAGGGAGAGAATTTCTTTTCTAATCTGTTCTCAAAAGCAAGATGAGCTATGAGAAAGAGCAAGAACCCGGAGCGATTGGCTGAACTTACCCTAGCTCGAGCGACAGGGCGGTTGATCAAGGGATACCGGAAAGAGGCAAACAACAGAATCTCCGGGTTTTATTTCATGTCGGGGCGAGGTCAATCGAGGGTTTTGGGTCAGTGAAAGCTCGAGTGCCCCCTTAGTCTTGGTCCTACTAGGTCTCCCACGATGGATGGATCCTACCTAACTTTAGATTGTTGCCCACGGGTCCCTATCAGTTCTATGTATGTAAAGAATTAAAGCAGTGAAAGTAAAAGCGACAGGCTCGATGTAATTGACCTAACCATCTGTGAGATCGGAGACTTCGAGAGGCTCCCTAGCGCCCGCCCAGCCAGGACCAAGCGCCCAATTCCACTTTTTGCAGCTATATGAAATGCAAAAAGTAGAATTGAATCCAACCTTCGACAGAACCGAGCAAATCCTCGCCACACTCAAGTGTCGAAGTGGTAGGACATATCGATCACATCGCCAATGAACTTTGCGAAGTGCATTGGACCGATGGATAAGGTATGGATGGATCCTTTTATTCCAATCAAGGAAGGAAAACAAGAACAAAAGCAACTCATCAACTAAAGACCGAAAAGAAAAGATAAATCACAACTATAACACATCACTTCTCTTAAGATATTAGTTGAAGAAGGCATTTCCGAAACCTTTATTTCTGAACCTTGTCTCGATGGGTAAGCCCCTATACTATTAAAGCAGAATCAACCCCTAGCCCACACCTACTTAGAAATGAACCCTGTCGGTTGACTACGGCTGTGATTCCCTTCGGCTTGGACTCCGCTTTGACATCTGAAAGCACCCACCTACTTGAGAAAGAAAAATATAGAAGAAGGGGGCAATTTACTACTTATTTCTATTACTAAAGATTGGCCAAAGCTCGTCACTTTCTTACGCTAGGGCTGATGAATCCTTAGTCCAGGGCTGATGGTTACAAAGAACACTTTCCCAATCTTGAAAACAAAGGTTGAAGTATCGTCAACAAAGTAGATATTTCGGATGATGTTTAGAATCCTACCCTGAAGATCTAACGTTTGGAAGCCTTGATAGGGGGAATCATACGCAAGGGATGAAGAACTAGAGTTAAGCCAGGCATAAGACAATACTTGTGATCCCATAAATCTGGTTCCTCTGCCAACATTCCCTGAAATCTATTGACAAATGGAGCTCACTTTTCTATTAGGTAAGGTAGTTCCATGAGAAGGGCAAAAGCGGAGGTTTAAGGAACTCGTCGGTTGAGGCAGTTATCGATAGTTAGGCTCAAGATTGATAGACGGATAATCCTCAAGGGCGGGACCGGAAGTCCCCAGAAAAGATAGACTTTCTAAAGTCAAGATTTTACCGAGGCAATTCTCCATAGTTGTCTCAGTTCCGTGAAACAAGGACTCGTCGGTTGAGGGCTAAAGCCCAGATTTCTCCTTTGCTTTTAGATTAGCAGATTGAATGATAAGGGATTGCTTTCTACCGAAGCGATTTAGCCGATGTTGTCTGAAGAAAGACCGAAATTAGAGTCTAAACGCAGATACGATGCGTCCAAGCATTCGAGGAAAAAGAACACGTTTAGCTGCCAGATAGGAGAGAAGTAGGAGTGGCGGAATGAATCACTTTCTTAATCCAATTACGTATTGAGTTCAACTAAATGAAGTGTCTGGGCGAGCAAACACTCATTTGAGAAAGGTATATTTTAGCTTCCTTCCCAGGGAGGAATAAAGAGATGCTCGAAGTCGTCAGAGCTTTATTATACGTCACCCCTGGCTGGCGAGGCACCGAGGGCGGCGTGTTAAGCGCAAACAAACTGCTTCATACATAATAGGTCCTATTTGTACGTTCGAATTTGATGAATATTTCTACTTTCTAAAGTCAGGTTAGTGCCTCATCTATTGAGACATAGGGCAACGGGATCGGTTGTTCCACAAGGTATGATGTTCGAGGGTCTTGTACAAGACCGAAACAAGAAACTAAATGCATCTTTTGTGTTGACGAAGAAATCCGATGAAACACTCGCTGGAATCTGGGCTGCTTTCCATGCCCGGCAAGAGAGAAGAAGAGCTGCGGAAATTACGAGCTTTCTTACGTCGCCTCAAGAGCGAGTTTACCAAGTTCGGTCAAAAGTTGAAATATTTATCCATTTTGTCGAGGCATATTCTGTCTGAGCAAGTAAAGGTAGAGCCCTTATCAATCTGATCCCGGTAGCTCCCACTTCTCGGGCCTGGACGACAACTTAGCTCTTGGCTCTGAAACATTAGCCAAATGGATGTTCTTTCCCTTACTTGGTCAGAGACATTTGAAGAAGCTCCAGGAACTCTTTCACTCGTAGGACCCGGCCCGGAATCCCTGTCTTGATCCCTAGCGGTCACTGAACTACTCAAGGGAGACTCTTTCCTTGTCCTTTGTCATAGTTATTCCGAAAAGCAAGGGATCTAACTCTAACTACCTATCCTTTCCCCGAACCTGGTATCTCACCTGCCTGCCCTCATGACTGCTCATCCGGTCATCCGCTTCAGACAAATAGAACAGCCCTTCGGCTTCTTTATTTGTTATGTATACTGTGTAGTATTCACGGGAGCAAGGAACTCTTTAACTAATGCTCTCCTCCCACTTCTCCTCTGCTTGCTCGTCTTCTGGTGCTGGTGTGTTCCCCGAGTGCTGAACTGGTACTTCAACTAGCAATCCTACTAGACCTATAGGCAAATCGCAAGAGATTCTGTACATTTGTGCTGGATGGTTTCAGCAACAAACACAATCTTGCTAATAAAATAGCAAGCACAGAGCCATTCATCATATTGATATAGGTTCGGGAACAAGGGAAAGAGTGAAGGGAACGATAAGTTCTTCTCTTCACTTATCACTTAAGTTAAGAGAATATTGATATTCCGATGGTTCCAAGGATCAATCAGTCAGAAGAGAACGAGAAAGAGGCCAACGCACTGAGATCTTGAAAGAATGGTCTAAAGGAGAGGATTTCCACATAGTCAGGAGCAGATAAACAACTAGAATTCAGAACAGAACTACCAGGTCAATAAACTACATGTTCCAGAGGGGTGGAAGTTTACCAATCTGTTCCTCATTAGCTGGGCCGATGACAAGGTAAGGATCGCAAGTACAAGTACTCAACTCATGTTTACCGATGGATGACACTTTCACTTGTCCTTACCGTTCATATGAGGATTAGCTCTTAGCTCAAAGACAGGGGCTTTCACTGAAAGGACCTATGGCGCTGCACAGCCCTTTCTCAGTCAATGTTGAGAGCAGGTGTCAGGTACCTAGTTCGGGTTGTGTGGTAAGATAAGAAAGGTATCAACGATCGTGCTCGTGTATTGTCTTGTGTCATGCGTAACGCGTGTGAGTTGGTGCACGAATACGCATTCATAGACAGGGCACGTTCACTAATCAATATCAGCTGGACAGATCCTCTTTCTTGCTCTGGCCCTTATTAAACAACTGGCTCGGAACGAAGAGAGAGCTAGGGCTAAGTGTCGTAGCTCGGGATGAGGGGAAGAGCTAGAGCTAGCACGGGTAAAGCTCATGCTCATATAAGCTTGTTGTATTTTTAACCTCCACATGTACGACATACGAAGAGGGATTGATACATCGAGCTCGTCTTTCACCCGCAGGAAGCAAGTGATGTGACCCAGTAAAGTGACCAGAGATAGGAAGAATAGATTAAGAAAGAACTTCTATTAAAAAAGAATCCGCTCTTTGAAAGCTTCAGTCCTAGGGTCGATGTAATTGAGGGGTTGTTATTCCAGCTAACGGCTAAACCATAGAATAGTCATAGTAGTTGGCACGTCCTACCTCCCCTTTCCGTCCTTTAATATCTATCCTTCCCTCTCCTTTTATTTTAGTCTCGCATCTGAACTTCTTCCTTAACGGCCTCGTATTTTAGTCGAGATCCGTCACTTCGCTCGCCTCGTACTATGGTGGAGCCTTTAAACCTCTCCTTTCGTTCCTTTAGCACGTCCATCCTAGTACGTTGAGCTAGGAGCATGTACAGTTCACCAGTACAGGATCCCATTCCCTTTGAGATCCCGTTTCCTTAGCACGGATTGGATTGATCGGAAGCGAAAGCATCCACTTTGTAAAATCAAAGACATAGGGCTTGCTGGTTCGGGCGTGATGGCTCTCGGCTTTCGTGACAGTTCTTTATGGCACTGGTACTTGTATCCCTAAGCCCTTTCTGTTGTATAACTTCTCTTTAATTAATATTTCATGGATTTTTTATAGTAGTGATTGACTGAGCAAAGACTGCAGTCAAAAACGGAGTGTGATAGAAAGTTCTAGTGCTGAAGCAGAGTACAGGTCAGACGAGATATAAAGTCGAAAAGGATTGAATTAGTCCGAATCCGGGGTTTCAATCAACACAAGTATTACTGGATCATCCATAAGTTGAAGAATAAACTGGGAGTATGACGAGTAGCAGCTAGAAAACTTCCTGCTTTTACTCTAATAGGGAGGGACTCTCACTTCTGATTCCCTGTGAAAATAGAACACCTTCTACTTATGAAAGAAATTCGATTGGCTGAACCTGAATTTCATCCACCCTGGGGTAAAGAAAAGAGAGCGCTCTCTCACCGGCTCAATTACATCGACCCTGTGGCCCTGGAGTCACGCAGATTTATTGATGTCGAAAGGCTTTCATTCTATCTTGCACTCCAACGGACCGTTGCGCGTTAGCCGCCACCCGACACAAGGACTTTCTATTCCCCACTGCTGCACCCCCTTGTCTTGGGGAAAAAAGGGCTCAGTACATATGGCGCAAGACGCCCGCGGGACTACGAATGTTGATTTATTATGGTCTACAAAAAAAGCGATGCTCCTCAATTACACCTTCCCGAATTTATATGACTTCACTTCGCTTCGTTCGTTGGGTCTTAGAAGTTGAGACACAAACTCGTTAAGTAAGAAGATGGGCCCACTGCTTTTTTTATGCTTTAACTACTCAAAGGGACACGGTTGATCATTCATAGAGCACAGAATCCGGATCGGGGGAGAGAGTCCTTTAAGTAAAAGAAAAGTAGAATCCAATGGGTCTAGTTAGCGCTCTAACCTCACTCACAAGCAGGAAAGCTCCAAACACCCTCTTCCGACGGTCGAGCAGCAAATCGAAAGATAAAGAATATATAAACAAGGTAAGAGTACATTTTCAATATTTGCTGCCAACGGATAAACCCAGAAAGAGCTGTCCTCGAGGATATGCCCTAAACCCCATTCGGGGAACGCAATAACTTGTGCCTTGCCATCGTCTTCTGTATTCTCTCAATAGAACTATATACTAGAAGTTCCCATCAAAGCTTTAACTATTTTAATGGCTTTATCCCTTTCCCGCAGCGAATCTTATTAAATGGGATAATAGCTTTCTCTTATTGGATGAATTTGATTTTTTTAAAAAATGAATCCAGGCTGCGAATTCGAGAGCTTCTAGAGCTCTGCTTACTCGAGAACAACCCCATCAAAGAGCCTACTTGCTTCGGATCTCTCTGCTCTGGTATCTCCTCCGGGGCGAGGTTCGATGTAATTGACCTAAACTTCGCCCCCCACGAAGAAGGCGAAGACTCGCAAACCACAAAACAATCTCGTTTGTCAAAATGAGCTCGAGATGTGCAGCATCGTGTGACGGACATTTCAAGAACTTTCTGCCCGATTGAAGCTTTCATACTAATCAATATCCGAGTAAGCAAGCTTTATTTCAGTTCAAGCGTATCATAGATCAAACTCTTTCAATTTTTTTTTAAGTCAAGTTGTAAGGCTAAAGCCCCTTTACTAGTAGAGGCAGAACGAAAAATCGGAAAGCAGTCAGTCTTATCGGTAAGTCAGTGTTGCAAGTCTTATGGTCCGAACAGAGTAGAGAGCCGAAGAAAAAGCAGTAGTTCAGTTTCGGTACTCAAGTTCCAGCGCTCGTAGAAAGAGGTAGATTCATCAGTTTAGCCCCGTTTTTTAAGGGCTGGGGGGACTAGAATCGGAAACTGACGGAGCTACTTCCCCCTGTTGAAAAGAGGTTACCTGTTGAGAGAGTAGCTGTTCTCAATTACATCGATCCTAAAGGACGAATTTGACTTGCTTGGATTGCTACCAAAGCTTCCCCATATTATAGGTATGATTACCACTGACATTTGACATTGTCTTCACTTCATTCTTTGACTGCTGGAGGCTTGAGGTCAATTATATCGAGCCTAGCTCCGTTGTGAACTTTTCTTTAGCAGGTATTAGAACTAGAACGCTGTAAACTCAGACTCTCACTCTCACTGGCACTGGCTGGGCTGGGACTTTCCTTTTTCCGTTGCTTCTCGCGGCACAAAAAAATTTGACAATTTTTCCTTCTTCCTTTTCCTATGCTCATTGGGTCCCTCGGAAACTCTCACTTCCACTTTCCAAAGTGTCAAACATCAGACAAGAAGTGAGCTTTACTTAAAAAATTTATCTGCTTTTAGAAAAAGAAAAACTGATCGACCAGACCGGGAGTCTTAGGCTTCACACTAAAAAAATCCATATGAAAAACTGTGTTAAGCATGGCCTTTAGTCCTATTTTTAGCTAGAAAATTCCGTTGAAAGAAAGTAGCTTCATTGGGCGAGAATTTCTCAGATCTTCACCGGGGTACGTACTTACTAGCCTTCTCAATGCTTTACCGGGTACGAGGTTCGGAGATGCTCGAGCGATAGCGATGAGGTACGAAGTCTCGACCGGGGAGAAAGTTAGTCGACTGTTATGTTAGGGAGAGGGGACTTTCTTATAGTAGCGATTACCGCTACAAACCATTTCATTCTTTTCTGGGATCCCGTGCAAACGAAAAAGAAAGGATCGATGAAATTGAGCGAAAATACTTAGCCTCAGTTCGGCGCAAGAGAGCAGCTCATTCCCTTGTGAATACCGATCTTCTATTGATCTTACACCTATGATGAATGCCTAAGCCAGACCTTCCTTCTATTGTTACAGAGATTGGGGAACAGAGAGATGACNTGACTAGAGGGAAGCAGTCTTTTTAGCCTTTTTTTGCTTATGTACGTGTTTCGGCTGCGCCTTTGCTTCTGAAGCTTGCTTTCCTGCGTCTGTTACGATGGCTTGCTAATGAGAATGAGCAGGTAACTGGAGTGAGAAAGAGAAAGCTCTAGAAAATTCGCTTTTTAGCCTCATGGGTGATTGCTTTTTGCTTTCTATACGTACGCAATTTCTCACCTCAATTACATCGACCCTACCTAAAGTGATTCAACCCCAGCTATCAAGGTGCATAAAGGCCAGTTTAGCTTACTCTTCACCACCTATCTTACCGCTACCACCACCCATGCTACCTTCCCCCACCTATCTCACTACCGATCGCCTTCTAAGCCTACCCACAGCTAGCGGTCGACGTTCACCGGAATACCTCTCTTCTTAGCAGTCGTCCTCCCTGAAGGGAGCCTCACTATCGATCGAAGAACTCTCGCAGTCCCCTCTCCTTTCGCTATAGCTCAATTAGATCGACCCTTGAGCCTGCTTCATCGCCTTGACTTGAGCGGAAGAAAGATCTTCTACTGTAAATACGAAAAGACCATACAAACTTTTCGAAGCGAAGTGAAGTCATAAAAAAGGACTTTCGGCCTATCTCTCGCTATTCGACGAGCATTGGACGAGTAAGTGACTTAATTGGGAGAAATGGAGACTGGAATCAAGACTTGATCAACCGAGTTTTCTTGCCTATTGACTCGCTCAAAATTCTTTCTATCCCTCTTAGCTTGAATCCTGTCTCTGATCGCATCATTTGGCACTATTCTAAAAATGGTGAGTACACGGTTAAGAGTGGATACCATTTGCTTAAGCACCAATCTTCGGGATTTTTGGAGTCTCTCGTCTTCCTCCAAATTTTGGTGGTGGACATCATTATGGAAATTGAATATTCTACCCAAGATTAAATTCTTTCTTCTATGACTTCACTTCGCTTCGAAAAGTTTGTTGGGTGAGCAATTCTCTCAAGGTAGTTTACTTGCTCGGACACGCTTCGCTCTCGACACCAACAATAAAGATTTGACTTGTTGGGATCTGGATTGGTTCGAGGACCGTATTGGTAAGTTGATCCCATCTTGCGAGGCACTCGGGATTCCGCCAATTTGTGGTAGACTTGGGCACTCAATTGAGGGTGGAGGGAGGTATGGAAGAACTTCCATAAAGGGTAAGACGGGTCAATTACATCGAACCTAAAGGGCGTCGCGAGAAAGAGCTGTTCCTCCAACATAGGACATTCCTCCGTCTTGTTTCGTAGGAACGTCCAAGTCATTCCTCCCTAGAGTAAAGCGGAAATTTAGAGGTCCTAAATAACTTACTCAAGCTCGTACGTCACGCCAGCAAGACAAAGAAATTCCGACAAGAGATGAATGCGCTGCGCACAGGCTTGGTTCGCCGTGATCCTTGATAGAATATTCTGTTTTGTGCCGGTATGGTCGAACGACCCGCAGATGTAGGGGGGCTTTAGCTTGAGTTCTTACCCGAATTGCGTTACAAAATGAAGGAATCCAAGTGAGCTAAAGCTTTCTCTGGCTTGGATCGACATATAGCTTATTTTTACCAGTAGGATTTCAATCCTTTTGATTTCCAGCTTCCTTTTACTCATTATCTAAACCCTGGGGTGCCCCCACATTAGTATATTTTAGAGTAAATGCGATGTCGTGGCTCCGGGCCTCTATTGTCCGGCGGGTGATATAATTAACATTAAAATGGGGGTAGAGGAGCCTTGCACGCGCAGGAAAAATCCCGGGAAAACAGCAAATTTATCTAGCTTAAAGCGGGACTTAGAGGCCATGCTTAACACATTCAAGACGATGCATGAATCGAGTTTCTCTTCCCCGATCTTCTTTTAGTGTCAAGTGTACCCAACTTTAGAAGCGAAGTGAAGGAAAGGAGAAGACCAAAGGTCAATGTAATCTTTAGAAGCGAAGTTCAGTCATAAAGGAAAACGTATCGATTCATATCCTTTATAAGGGGACATACTGTAACCACTATCGCATCGGGTGCATATGGCTCCAATATAGGAGCTCCCTACTGGTCATAGTGCCATTTCCGTGCTATACTATATTTATATAAATAACTAGGAAGAGCTTTGCAAGAATAAGGTAATAGCTTGATTATGAGTTGAGCGTCTTAAAATATGTATCAAAATGCATCAAGATTATCGTATATTAAGGAATTGAATTGAAGTGAATAGAAGCATAGAATAAATGTTCATAGGAATCTCTATTGATTGAATTGTTTGATTTAATGGAATCCTTTATGAATGGATTCTTCATTGCAGACTGAATTCCCAACAGATGGAAACGGCACTTCATGCCCTCAGGGACTGCTCTGTCTCCAAGGAGCTCTGGAAGAAATTGAATCCCTTGTCTTTCGCTCCCGATTTCTTTCAACTGGATTTATGTTCTTGGATTTCGTCTAATTGCAATAGCAGGGTGGTGTTCCTTGATATACCATGGCCATTCATCTGAATATATGCAATTTTGTTCTTATGGTTTTGGAGAAACAACAAGCTTCATGACCCAGACTTTGTTTGGCCCTGAAAATCTTTCCAGATTATCCTAGGCAACTCCAAAATGGCTTGGGATGTTCTGGAAAGATTCCAACACAAGCTCAGAATTCAATCGTTTATAGGTTGGTGTCGCCCTCCTATGGATTTCATCAAAGTTAATGTTGATGGGAGTGCTCGGGGTTCTCCAGGATTATCAGCAGCTGGAGGTTTAATAAGGAACTCAGAGGCATCTTGGATAGCTGGATTCACATACAGGGTTGGCTCATCTCACATTCTCACTGCTGAGTTATGGGCAATCTTTCATGGGCTGACACTATGTTGGAACAAAGGATTTCGGAAAGTTCTCCTGGAATCGGACTCCCTATTAGCAGTCTCAAAGATCAACAACACTCTCGCTGCTATTGATCCCCATTTCCACCTCATTGAGGCTATCTTAGAGCTAAGAAATCGCAGCTGGAAAGTGAGTATCCACCATGTTTATAGGGAGGCAAACCAATGTGCAGACTGGCTCGCCACCCATTTTGATGGTCTTGAGCTTGGAAAAGTCTGCATAATTTTTATGACCCACCTCCTCAGCTCCATTCCCTTATTCAGGCTGATGCCGTTGGAATTTCATGGCCTAGGGCCATTCATTCTATTTAAGTTGATGAAGGCTGAAATTGTAGATAAAACTGTCCCAATGAAAATGGAAAAATAAGGTAAAGCTCTTTCCGTTAGTGTACCGTAAACATAGAGTCGATACGGAGCAACCAAACTCCCCCGAGTGAGAGCTCGGTAAGCAGTAGGTCTCGAAGAGCAATGATCAATCACGTAATGAGAAGACGCAAGCACTCTGCTAAATCTCACAGGTTCCTCTTGAGTTGAATGTACCCAGAAAAACCAGCGTGTCCGAAGGCGAAGAGGACGAATGAAGGTGAACCGAGTTTTAGGTAGTATAGTTAACCAATTGGACTTGGTTTCGGTACCAACCCTGTGTTCCGATTAAGAATCAATTCATCGATATGAATTCTACTCTTAAGAGATATTCCTATGAACATTTAGGAAATCCTTATATAAGATATTAATATCAGAAATTCATCGAACCTTGTTTCTGAATAGCTATTCTTCATACGTCGGAACCTACTGAGATTGACTCAGCAATTGAACTTTCGTCCTTCTATGGCGGTGGTGCCTTCTACGGCTGTTTGGATTCACCTCCCTTCCCTTGGAGTTCTTTAAAGAAGACATTCTTATGGAAACTGGTAGAAAAATTGGTACGCCAAAGAAGTTGGATACAACGACTTCTTTAGCCACGAAAGCGAGGTTCGCCCGAATTTGTGTGGAAGTGGATTTGCAGAAACCCTTATTGTCTAAAGTAAGGGTTGGTAACCAGGTACATAGGGTGGAGTATGAAGGTTTGCATACAGTGTGTTTTCACTGTGGAATTGTTGGACATCGGGCGGAAAATTGTATCTTGAATACGGCTCCGGTTCAAACTACGGTTGCAGAGAAGTCGGTTGGTGGAGGTGTGCCCATACATAGGCGAGAATAATTTATTCTAAGAAGAACTACTTTTATCTTCCTCTTCGCCTTACTCCTTCGTCCCCTCGTCGCTACGCTTAGAATAGCCCGGGTCTGCGTGCCTCCGTCAGTCTTGAAGGATCCAAACTCAGGAAAAGTTTCTGTTCCCCCACCGCCCGACGTGATGGTTGTGCCAAAGCCTTTTTTGAATGTGACACATTCTTCTGACCCTCCGGATTCTAATACGAAGATGGACACTGATGAGGATGTGATTTCAATCAAATAGCTCTGATATGCTTGTAGATGGCCTTGCTCAGCAAGGAAACCTTAACCCTAATAATAATCCATGAAGATTATTTCTTGGAATTGTAGAGGTATTGGGAATGGGTAGTCTACATCATTTTGGTTCGATAAATGGCTAGATGCACCGTTGATTGATGAAATTGCTTCTGATAATATGGATATACATCAAGTTGACCTGAAGGTGAGTGAGGTTCTGGAGAATGGTACGTGGGATGCAGGTCAAATCTTGACTATGCTGCCACTGGACTGGGCTTTGAAAGTCATTGGCTACCCGTTACCTCGGATATGCTACTTGTCAGATAAATTAATGTGGAAATACACACCTTCAGGAAGGTTTTCTACAAGGTCAGCCTATAATGCTATGTTAAATAATCTAATAGGGGAGACCCCTGGTTCCTATAATTGGCTCTGGAAACTCAAGGTGCCTGCAAGGTGGATTTACTTCATTTGGTTAGCTCGAAGGGGCAGGCTTCTCACTAATGAAATGAGGGCGAAATGGCACAATGAAGCCAATGGTATGTGCTGCATATGCCAAACATCAATTGAATCAACCTTGCATGCTTTGAGGGACTGCCCCGAAGTTGCTAATATTTGGAGAACAATGGGTGCCGTTTGATTTGTGGCATGAATTTTTCTCTGCTGATTTGCAAGCCTGGATTGATGACAATATTGTATTGAAGTCCATGCCAAGAGTTTTAGATTCAGATTGGCGATTCATTTTTGCAACATGCTTATGGAGAATATGGAAGAGGAGATGTGAAGTGGTCTTTAACTCGAGCTGCGTGGTAGATGCTGAGAAACTTTTGAAGGTCATTGAGAGCTCCATTATAGAGCTTAAATAAGCCTTTCCGAACCTGGAAAAAGGGAGTATAACAGAGCGCCAAGTAGCATGGGAGAAGCCCAAGGAGGGATTTATTAAAATCAATACAGATGGGGCATGTAAAGGAAATCCGGGAATAGCAGCAGCAGGGGGGTTGCTTCGAGATGCTAACGGACAATGGATTGTTGGGTTTATGGCACACCTTGGTATATGCACGAATACAATAGCTGAACTTCAGGCTATTAGGCATGGGTTGGAGCTGGCTTGGGTGTATGGATACAGGCAGGTAATCTGTGAAGTTGATGCTAAAGTTGCGATAGATTTCATAACACAGGCGGACATTGATACACACCCATGTGGGGGGCTGATTGCTGACATTCGAGCCTTAATCGAGCGGGACTGGGTTTGCCATTTACAACACACTCTCAGAGAAGGGAACGAAGGAGATGAGGCGAAAGCCGAAGGGCAATGCGGTAATTTCCTTTTTATTTGAATACCCCGGTTTGCAAGCATTTCGTCTGCTTCTAATTCTACAATCGAGGCGCGTAGAATTATCTGTAATGGATCAAGATAACCTGAAGGCCATGGTGCTTGATTTTTACCAAGACTTGTTCAGTTTAGATATGCAAAATAGGGTCTTGTTACCTGCCTTGAATTGTCCAAGTATTCCGACGGCTGATAGGCAAATCATTGAGGCTGATGTCCGTGATGAGTAAGTTCACATGGCCCCCTTTCAGATGAAACCTTGGAAAGCACCGGGGATTGATGGCTTCCAAGCTGGTTTTTTATAAGGAGTTTTGGAGTTCGGTTAAAGGCTCATTAACTGACCTTGTGCGCACAGCCTTAACTACTGGTATTTTTCCTACTGCCTTGAATAGAACTCTTCTTGTATTGATACCAAAAGTGGATAATCCGGAGTTGAAAAAAAGGATGGATTTCGTTATTATAACACATCGTAGATACCGATCTTCCTGCACGAGGCCTAATATTTACAACGCTTTGGTAGACTCTCGTTTTGGCTCGCTTCCGCTACCCTTTAAGGAAAACTCTTTGGTTAAACGCCCTTGATTGTCATTGGACCAATCTACTATAATACTCTTCTTAGCTACCTATACTCAGTATACAATACCTGAATTAGGCTAGCAGTTGGTGAGAACCAAGAATTTATTAGTGAATTCCCTCTTATCCATAGCTTGCTTCAAAGACTACTTACCTTGAGTCATCTATGGTACGTGAGTGACCAAGAGTCAATAGTAGTCGTAGTTCATCTTAATAGAAGGAGGCAGACAGACCAGATGAAAGGAAAGCTGAGTCATTCTACCGGGTCCGAAGGGAATGACAAAGCTAAATCTCTTTCCCAATGAAGATTATAACTTGGATAAGAGAAAAAAGGGTGAGATAGACTCGGAGTTAGAGAAAGGTAAGATCTTGTCTGGAGAACATAAATCAAAAATCTCATTAGTGATGAACTGATTCGCAGTTGAGCTCGACTATGAACCTTATATAAAAAAGTGGCTAAAATAGCTATCAAAGGAATTGCTATAATTCTACATTCCTAACATCAGTCCTAGGAAAGACCTTTTCTCGCTTCGGAGCTCCTACCTCGGTCTATGAGATCAAAGCCTGGCATCATATGAGCCAGCCTAGAGGCCAAGCTTTGGTCCTAGGAGGCTACTTTTGATCTGGACTCTGACTGAAAAGCCAGGATTAGCTCTTATGAAAGAAGCTCGTCGAGCTGAAGTAAAAAACCGTCCTGCAAACATCTTGAAAAACGGGATATTTCTCGTTAATCAAAAAACTCACTTAGTAACCTCTCGTAGTTGATAGGCGGGAGATATTTCGACTGGGCAACTCCACTCTCAACACGAATAGCAGATTCTTCTCCGATACTCTACGACCAAACCAGGAATTTATGACCATCTCCTCGAAACTTTCGTGAGTGAACCAAGGCAATCACTTAGTGGAAAAGGAAGGTAAACGTCCTCTTCGTCGCTGCCTTATAAGGACCGAGAGAACAGCTCTTCTGACTCATCAGGAAAACCCAAAGAAGATTCCGCCAGCAGGACGAAGTATTCCGCTTTCGTTCCAAACTCATGTAACCCTCACTCTGGCCTTGCTCCTGGTTGAGACCAAAAGACCTATAAATACTCTTCGACTTCTATACTCTCCCAGACCGCTCAACTGAAAAGGCGGATCGTCGAAACTATGAAATAGATAGCTTGGCGTGCTTGGACTATAGGCATAGAGGGCAACTGGATCTAAGACAGATGGAACGTATCCGCTTTACTGAGTATAACTACAATCGGTGTTTTCGGTCTATCTTAAAAAAAAAAAAAGAAAAGGCTTATCGAAATGTTTGGCACCTTGATGTCGACTCATCACATCCTCCGCCTGCTTTATCAAACGTGGTTTGAAAAAGATGCTATTTGCGATCGGGACTTCGTTGGTTTGGTTATCTTTAAGTAATTACTAGAATAACTGGGCATCCCTCAAAGCCTATCTCTTAACAGACCCTTCGCCTTTCGGCTCACCTCTTTCGACCCTTTGCATAGAATATAGCGGATAAAGTTCATTTAGCCTTGTGTCTTCGTGGTCCTTCGGACCCTTTTTCTTTACACGGGTGGCATGGAAATAAAGAGAAAGGACCCAACGAACGAAGCGAAGCGAAGTGAAGGAAAGGTAATTTAAATGAAATTAATAATAATAATAGGTGTCTTCGTTTCCTGAGGCTAGAGTTATCAACCTTCCGCTTCTTTGTTCGGATCATTGCCCAATCATGTTTTGCTCTCAATTGTCTTCTCCGCCTAACAAAGATAATCGTCCGTTTAGATTTGAAGCAGCTTGGCTTACTCATGCTGACTTTGACAACATGTTCAAGTTGGCTTGGAATAAATTCCCCCTCTCTTTGCCCGAGGCGATTCAGTCAGTGACTGACAAGGTGAAAGTTTGGAAGGAAGAGATTTTCGGGAACATTTTTGTGAAAAAGAGGAAATTGCTGGCTCGGATTAGGGGTATCCAGCGCTCTTATAGCTATGGATACTCTCATCAGTTGACTACGCTTGAGGCCGAGCGTAAAAAGGAGTATCAATTGATATTGGCTCAAGAAGAAATTCTTTGGCATCAGAAGATCCGTTCGGATTGGAATGTAGATGGTGAACGAAATACTAAGTTTTTCCATCTTACAACTCTAATTCGTAGGAACAGAAATCGGATTTCTCGGCTGAAAATTGATGATATTTGGTGTACAGACGCGGGGGTCTTGCAGAGACACGTTTGTGGGTTTCTATGAGGAGGAGCTCTTTCGTTTTGTTCCCAACGTCACTTCTGTGTTCATAGATGGTTCCTGTCCGCAGCTTTCTCGGGATGAGAAGCATATGTTAGTTGCACCGGTTAGTTTGGACGAGGTTCGTAATGCGGTCTTCTCAATGAAAGGTTTAAAGGCGCCGGGGCCCGATGGGATTCAACCACAGTTCTACCAGAAAGAGTGGTCCACGGTACACCAAACTTTGCTTGAGTTTGTGCGAAAGGCTTTGTCGACGGGAAGGATTAGTGAGTCTGCTCTTTTGGCGGCTCATTTGGTGCTCATCCCTAAGAAGGATTGTCCTGAGTCCATTCTTGACTTCAGACCTATTACTCTTCTGAATACTTCCTATAAAATCATCTCCAAGGTGCTGGTTGCTAGGCTTCGGCTCCTAAATAGAATCAATGTGTCCATCATGCCCTGCTTCTCTTGGCTCCTTGCTCTCTGGTCTAAAGTTGGAAAGTCAATGGGCTCACTAATAGCGGGAAGTAGTCATTGTACCGAAGTCGAGTGCTACCACTGACTTTGAATGGGTCTCCCCCTTTTCTGAGCGCTGGACGTACCGACCGGGGATCGGTCCCAGTAGATAGAGCGGTCCCTAACTGGGTCAAGTTGAATATCTGAAAGACTTGCCTTTCTATCAAGTTAATAAATGGCAATTAGTCCGGAAATCATATCTGACTCACTTTATATGCCCCCGGTCAATTAAGGGTATGTCGGGTTAGCGCTCTCTCAACGCACCCTGCTGTCCTCCACCAAGACCTGGGGATATCCCATATGCGAAAGCATAGGAACAGAACTCTATCTTACTTTGCCTTTAAGGTATGGCACCATAGCTTAACGATCATCTATAAAGAAAGATCTACTATTTATTATGGCCATAAAATCAGAAAAAATCGCTAGGAGTTGTTCAAGGCCAAAGATCACAAAAACAACGGATTTCTTTCCGAAAGCTCTTTCAGACCCGGAAAGAAGGCGATCATGACTGTCTCGTCAAGTAGGGCTGATAGAGGACTTGTCCATGGGCGGGAGATAATCAAAGTATCTTAACTCGTAAAATAACTAGGCTCGATGTAATTGACCATTCACTCTGTCAAAAGGACAGCATTGAGAAGATCGTAGAAAGATGACCGAGGCTAAAGACACTCGTTGAGTGTCAATACTTGAGTTCAATGACGAAGATGATGAAATTGCTGCTAACAAGCTGAGTACCTTTTATAGGCATAGTTATAGGCTCAGAAGGTTTATACACTATCTTCTCAAACTTAGAAAAGAAAGTATAAAAATTCACTCACTCTCATCTATCTTCCCCTATCCTTCCCTAGAGTCCGAAGATGGAAAAGCTTCCTTTCTTTCGCATTGCCGTTCACTATGTAATTGGCACCGCTCTGCGTGATCCATGGCAATTTCTTTCCACAAAAGTTTATTTATCAGGCCTCAGAAAAGCCGCCCATCCATTTCCGACCAGGTCCCGAAAATCAAATCTCTTTAGACCTCGACAGGAGCAATCAGACGGCTTGGCATTTACGAATCACTAAGAACGAGCCAAAGATACAAGCCGGAATGACGAGACGAGCTGGCTATATATCGAAATTGCATATAGAAAGAGCTTCTCTCTAAAGCGTGTCTGGCGTCGTCAATGTAGATGGATTTGATGAGAATCTAGGTCGTCTCGGGACGCGCTACTAATATCAGAATCAGAGAAGAGGAGATTGCACTGGACAGGGTATTAGGAGTTTAGCATTGAGCAGAAAGTGGCCGGCCAAATAATGTGTGCTACTTCAGTGCCTTCCTTGAATGGTCGTAGAATCGGATAACCATCACCTAAGTTCCCAATGCTAACTATCGATGTGCCGGCTTTAGGGCTCTATCTCGAGCGGTCAAAGCCATCCCTTTCCTACAACCCAAAAGTATGTTTCAACAAGAATTGTCAACTTCACGTTTTATAGGGGTCGAAAGTACGCGAAGAAGAAATGGTTTACAAAGTCAAAAGACAATAAGTACATTTTTCAGTGAAACCACTAGAGGTCTTTCGAGCGAATCCACGACTGAACATAACGACCTTATATCGATAAATGCATTCCCACTCCCCAAATAAATCAAAAACCACCATACATTTATCATTAGGAAAAAACAACCCTATGATCACACATAGAATCATACGGCTCAGCGACTACTTTCGGGCTAGTTCGTCGCCTTTCTGCGTCCTCTTATTCGCTTAGCGCTGTCACATCTTTCGTAGTCGTATCTATTAATAACCTAGCTATTATATAATCACTTTATGCGGTATTCGTCCTCTTTCGAAATGAGGTGAAGTGATCTATGACTTCACTGCGCTTCGCTTCGTTCGTTGGGAGCTGTTTTCTTTTCACAGCCAAAATGTTGCTTCATCCGCGACGAACTGCTTTTCATGCAAACTAATCAGATTGTGTCAGTGGAAGGCTTGGTTAACTCCTCCTGTAGCTACAGCGAAGAGCATCTATCTCTTTGAACTTCTGGATGAGCCAGACTTAAGGGGTCTTGTCACTCGATGCCATCATTCTTTCTACTTACTTATAGTTAGCCTAATTAATGAGTCTGATTAAACTACTCGTTGAAGCATAGAATGAATGTTCATAGGTTTCTTTCTCTTTCGAGTTTCTTATTCGTATAGATTCATTTCTTCAATAAATAGAATATATGATTGACTTTTGTATCGATCTTTGATTCTTTGATCAAGAAGCTTGCGCCCCAGGTACCTTTGAGAGCTACGTTAGGGTCGGGATACCGTAGGTGTACGATCATTCGATGAAAAGGTTGATACAATCATGCTTTCTCTCAAGTCATCTCAAAGTTTTGGTTAGTGTTCAGTCTTCCCTTTGTCAATCATCGAAAAGAATGAAAGAGCTGAGCCTACAGGCGAAGAGGAGGAAATGGAGGTTCACCGATAGGCGAACGGCACGGTGGACCTTAGGTACGAGAGGAATTGCCCGGCATTCTCTGGGCTGGGCCTCTAGTGCTTTGGCCTCCATTGCTCCATTTCTTGTGGCGCTTGGCTTCCTTGCGTAGGCAAGCTTGCGCTAGGTCAGTCTGCTCCTGCCAGGTCTTCGGTAGGAGTCGAACCCTTTTGCTACGAGTGCTACGAGATATTGACTTTCGATATCTCGATTAGTGCCTGATCCAACAGAAGGGAAAGCCTACCACGTTGAACTTGCTATTCCCGACTACACAACGTTAACCCCTCCCAACGGAGACTAAAGGTAATGCATTGCTCGTCTTGCCAGCAGAGTAAATCTACCTTTCTTTGTAGCCACATATATCAAATGGTCCGACCGAAGAGTCGCAGAACGTTCCGTTTATCTTCTACCTATATTTATTCAATGCGCTTATGTAGAGATTAAAGACTCTAAAGAGGAAAGCATGTTCAGAAGTTCTGATGCGCACGAGATGTCATTCCGAATATGATTCATTCAAAGAAGAAATGAAATTCATCGATTAATTACGAAGGAGATGAGACGTAAGTCGAAGAGGACGAAGTTTCGAGGCGAAAGCCGAAGGACACGAAGTGACTCGACTTCTATGACTTCACTTCGCTTCGCTTCGTTCTGTTAGTCTCACTTTGCTCTCCTCTACGGGCAAGAAAAAGCTGCAGAACGGGCGGAAGAGCTCTCACTCGGATGGATATCTTCAACATTCAGCTTCCGCGCCTGGTGAATCGAAAAAGCCTAGTTATTTTTCTTCGGAGACAGTATCCGATTTAGCATTTAGTGGAAAAACCCATTCTACCTTCGTTGAAATCCCCATCATCATAGAATTGGAAAGCGGATCTATTCTAAGTAAATACTTGGTCAATACTTCACTTCGCTTCGCTTCGTTTGTACGGTCAGAGATGCTATCGATCGATCTATTCAGGAATAAAAATAAGAACGAGCAAGATCGCTTCTCGCTTTCAACCGGTTCCAACCCTAAGCGGAAGAAAGGCTGTTGTGAGGAAGGGTTAGCTCGATGAGTTAGTGACATGACGCACTAGGATTCTTAGTCTTCTTTCTCCCTGTTTTCTGCTGCAACATGCCCGATGCGAGCTGTTCCCATGGCTTCGAGAGGGAAGATGTAATTGTAGGGAAGGCATCGAGTCCATCTATTCATGGGATGCTACATCGGTGCCTGGTTTCAGGATTCTTGGTCTGCTCAATTCATCGATCTACGGTATCAATAGTAAGTGGAGGTCAGACTATGTGATTGGAGTCTTTTTTCTTTTAATTTAACAGTTTCATCTTCACAAGCCCTCTTATTTTTCAAGCGAGCTAGTGAAGTACCTCTTAGCTTAGGAAAGCGGGCTCTAAGTTTGAAAGTTTCCCAAGGAAGGAATATTGAAAAGAGCAGGAGTTTTTCCAGCAAGTTTTTCATTTCTCAGCCGGTAAAGCTACTTCGTTCCGTTCCTTTCACGGTCCAGTCGACTAACTAGAAACCTCTCCTACTAACTTTGTCCCTCTCCGAGCAACTTCCTTTCCTCCTTCTTTCTTGTCTGATGCTGATGGCTTGACAGAGTCAAGGACTAATAGGACTGGGATAGTAAGATAGAAAGTCTTACCTCGAGGACTGCAACCCTTTTGACCACCCCAGTTGCTCTTACCCCAGCTAGTAAAATATCAAAAGATAGATTCTTATCTATTTCTCAATAATTGCTGCGAAAAATCCCGGGAAAGAGGTATGAAGCCACTCGACCAAAGGAACGTAGGTGGGGAACTCCTAGTTACCCGAAGAGACTACTTAAGTTGTTTTACCGGAAACGAGAGTTTCAGACTTTACCGGGGGAACTCACTATATGAACGAACTAGCCCGGCCAACTGGGGCAATGAACTAGCCTTCTCAATGCTTTACCGGGTACTTAGTTACGAGAACCAAGAGGGAAAGGTGCGGACTTGCTTGACTGCAAGGTTTGTGGGCGCTCGACCGAAGAGCGAAGATGCTTTGCCGCAAGACTCTAATTCTCAATATAGCAGCTCGACGAATTAAGAATTGAAATCCTAGCGAGAGTAGCAGTGGTTGATACGGATTTGACTCCCTCTCTTCATTGGGACGAATGCTTTTTTATCATTACAATAGGCAGGAAGTGGGGGAAAATGCGCGAACTCGCCACTCTGGGCACTTCAAGAAACATGATTGTGTACACGAGGTCAAACATCATGTGTTAAGCATGGTGAGAGCGTGGGTAGCAAATAGGCAGCAAATAAGTCCTTTCTTTATGTGATTTCCGCGGGCTCCTAGCAGTTGCGCTTATATAGGCTCTAGCGCTGGCCAGGCCAATATAGCTTAGCTCTCAGTAAAGCAAATCCGAGGAAGCGACAAAAGGCATCTTTCCTTACTATATTAGATAGTCCGATTTTGGCAAGAGATCGGCCGTTTTAGGGCATCAGTTTCCTCGGGCACTAAAAGCTGCTTCAGTTCCTGCTGGTTCGTGAAGCAGGAGAAAAAAAGGTTACTAACAAGACAAGCCGCCTCAACTTCGATTTAGGCCGTTTCATGCGCAAGTTGCTTTTCCTACGCAATTAGTTAGTCCGGTCGACAAAAGAAAAAAGCCTAGCTGGCTAGCGGGTCTGGAGTTCCTCTCAGCTGTCTTGTCTCAAGTCCCTACTAGAACTAGACCTCTGGTAGAGGGAATTTTGGTTTGGGCTTTAGTTACAGCTGTTTCGGATCCCTGCGCCTGGCCTATCGAAAGCGCTTACCTACGCGAGGGCTCAAGATCAAGAACTGAGGGTCTCCTTACGCGTTTTTAGAGTCCGATTTTGCAGATGTTTCGACCGCCCCTGGAGGGCATCAGTTTACGAGGGTCTGATTAAGGGCAGCTAAATGCGTCCAATCTGGGTTTAAAACAAAATAAGGTCTCAAGAGCGTCGGCTTTACTTACTATATTTCCGATGGCTGAGCTCTGAAAGTTAGGCCCCTCTAAAATAAAAGGGGTTTTACTTTCCATCGATCTGTCAAACCCGTCCTAGCTCTTTCTTCTAAAATAAGAGGAGTGCGGCTGGCTGTCTCAAACTTCCATAAAAAGAAGGCTCGGACTCAAGGAGCTCAGTTTACGAGGATCCGGGGGAGGGGAGTTCCTCTCTAGCTGTCTTGTCTAAAGGCCCTAGCTATCATAAGTCTAGGAAGAGCAGCTGGCTGAGGGGCATCAGTTTCCTCAGATCTGGCAAAGCAAAGTAGGTAGCTCTGAGAAGTAGGGGAGGGAGAAGGTCGGACTGAAGGGCTTCGGTTTCCTCAACTCCAATCCTGTCAGAATCGTAGCTCTGGCTAGCTAGCTGTCGGGACTCCCCTTTGGGGTTCATACCCCGGATCTGTAAAAAAAAATCTTGCTCCTCTTGGGATTCGTCCTCATAGGCTACACTGTTTTACTTCTCATGCGGTAGACTATACACTTTCCCCATCCCGGTTTCGAAAACATAAGTACGAGACGAAAAAGAAGAGCTACCTTCTTATAAGGCAGCAGATCTTTTGTTTTATATTCCTTTTGCAACTTTTGCTAAACAAGTCCAAGAACAAGCCTCGACTAGCCCAAAGGGGAAGGCCTGACTGGCTTTTCTTATGAGATCTTGTCTGAAAGACTTCCTTTTTAGGCACTTAGTTTTGGTTTATATAAGAGAAGAAGAAGGGTTTCGAGGCGAGGACGCTCCACTTGACTTTACTGACTTGACTTTCATCTTCCTTAGCCCAACCCAACAAGGGCAGCTGCTAACTGAAGTTCCAATCAAGACGGGAAAACTTTTCTTTTGAGTTCCTCGACAGCTCAGAGAGCTGCTGGCTTTGTACCTGCCAGCGTCTGAACCAAAAACGAATACTGATGCCCTTCCGCTTAGCTGTGCGCCATCTCCATCTCCTGTGCCCCTGCCTCAGCTCCTTAGCTCGAAGCTAGTTCTAAATATGGCCCCAAAAGAAAGGGGTGATGCTTCCAGTTTCGGTACCCGGATAAGGAGCTAAGTTGTTTCGTGCGCGAGGGGGAAAAAGACTCTTTACTTATGCAATTTGAAGAGATGAAATTAAGGACCTCTCAGTCCTCGATAAGCTAGACTGGTTTTGCCGTTCCTTTATAAGGCGGCTAGGAGATACACTTTTGGCTATGAAAGATAGGACCGATGCCTTTCCCTCGATCGAGAAACTAGACTGACTGGTCTTGACTAGCCTGTTTCGGCGGATGCGGATCTTGCCTGGCCTGTTTGGCCTGCTCTTACCGTTGCGCCTGAGGGATACATTATTATATTGCGCCCTTTGGCTATGAAAGATTGATCCCTCTAGGACTGACCCTTTCCCCTCGTTAGTCGATCGCGTTGAACTCCTTAAGGAGAACTACCTCGAGGAATGCTATTAAGATGGGAAAAGGATGAGGGACATGTGCGGCTGAGGGGCAGATATTTACGACTGAGGACTTGTTCGCCAGCTCAGTACTTATATTTACCCGCCTCAGGAGGAGTTTGTTGGTCGAACTTTTAGGAACTGTTGGAACTCGATCTACCTCGGGGGCGACTAAAAAAAGGTGAGGCACATCTATGCGCATGAGGAAGCCCCTGTCTCGTCAGCTGCTGCAGTACGAGGGCGTTGTTTTAGCTCCGACGAAAGATTTATCCCTCACTTCCGACTGCCCTTGGGATGCACTTTCCCATTCATGTTATTAGTGAGATCTGAGCACACGGCACACGGAGCACGCACCGATTCTTTTTAAAGTCGGTCGAAAAAGAGGAAGTTTGAATCGGTTTTGTAAGAATTCCCTTCATAAATGGGGTAATTTCAGAGAAGAATTACGTTTAGATGATAGGATTTGGCATCGTAATCTGTCCTTCACTTCCGGGAAGCTCTGCCTTGAGGGCTTCTCCTTCGGACCCTCGGTGTATGAATGGTAGAAGCACGTGCCACACGCGTTACGTCTCGTGATCAAAAATAGGTCATTTGAGTCGGTCGAAATGGATCAATTTAGCGATCAGGATCTGAACATGACTTCCAGGCCCACTTTCCAATGTTCTTTTCTTTGGATTGCTAGGATGCCGATGGCAAAGAAATTCCAATCAAAGGTGCCTAACCTTATCGGATTTTGCCTTCAAACCTCAACTCTTTTCGAACTTTCCATTTCTCCTTTTCTATATGCGCTGGGAAAGAGTGCAAGGGTATGGGGATTTTTGATTGAATCGCTAAAGCGCTTATTAAGTCCCTTTGGGCCAGTTGTTGGATAATCGATAGTTGCAGTCGGATTTCCCGATGATATTGGTCTGGGTTTCTATGATTGGGTGTCCGCGGCTGTCTCCCCTTCAAGGCGATGTTATGGTCGTTTGGCGCAGGTAGTTGAGGGTGGGGGTAAGAGAAGGGTGTTTGCCATAGGCAACTATGTCTCACAGGTGATACTCCGTCCAATCCATAATTGGTTGATGGATCGTTTACGGTCCATTCCAATGGATGGAACTTTTGATCAGGAGCGTCCCTTGTTAAGACTAGTGCCTGCTGACGTGTGCTTTTCTTATGATCTTAAATCAGCTACCGACAGGTGGCCGATAGCTCTCATGAGTGAGCTACTGAAGGAAGTCTTTGGTCCGACTGTGTGGACGATTGGGATTAGGTCCTTGGGATTGTCGAGCTTTACAACTCGATGGTTCCCAGGAGGTCAAAAATCCCTGTCATTCCGCATTGGGCAGCCCTTGGGCATGTACTCTTCCTGGCCCCTTTTCTTCTCTCTTCTTTCCCCCCGGTCCTCAACCGAATTTTCTCCATTTTGCTCAGTTGCTCCAGCGGTGGCTGGGCAGTGATCTTTGTGGTAGCGGGGGTAGAATTCGGAAGGCTGGCCGGGGTTGTGTCCTTCCGAGCGGACGAGGTCGGCTCGGTGACCGAGGGCTTGCGTTGCGTGGAGGTCTTACAGAGCCACGGGCTTGGACGTTACTTCTGAATTTCTCTGCTTTTTTGAGGCCCGAATGAAGGTTCGATGTAATTGATGAACGGATTCACAATAAACAATCATCAAAGGCGATTGAAATAAAAAAAAGAAAGGGAGGCGTGGAAGCCTTTGTCATGGAACTGCTGAAGAAGTGGATGAGGCAGCTTATGCGCGTGCTGATTTATCTCGTTACACTGCGTAGTTCTAGCCCCCGGTGGTAGGCGGGAGAAGCAACAACGGAACGAAGTCCAGTTCGCCTAGCTCTTTCCCTAAATGAAGAACGGCCTACTTATAGCCCTACTTATTCCCCTTTATTCGGGGACTTCAACGGGCCTTACAAGCTCATAAAATGGCTAGTCTTCACGTTTTCCTCGGCTATTACTTGATTGACATTGAAAGAAAGAAAAGATCAAGAGACCCCCCGCACCTTCCTTTATTGTATTAGCTTTGCAGTAAGAACTTATTTTCGTATGAAGTTGCCGAATTAGCACTCGCGGATTCAGGTCCCTACTACGTTGACTTTTGCTTCTATTATTTATAATCCATTCAAAAAGGTCACCGTCCGGGTTTAGCGCATACTTGGACCTGTACATTACGATTACGGAGAAGAACCCTTAGTACCGGACGATTGAACACTATAATCGTTAATAGTCGTTGTGGATTGACTCGGAGTGAGACTAGAAGTTGTATTATCACTGGAACTTGAGTTGAGACTATTCTCATCAAAGCGAAAGATGCGTCGAAAGTTGTTTAACATATGGATTGATTGAGACAATGAAATTCCCTCCAGACAGAAAGAGAGTCCTGACTGTCAGAGTAGTTCAGAATTCGAGTGAGTTTTTGGGGGTTGTTGACCAACGGAAAGCATGGGAGTCTTGGGCGTCAAAGTGCTTCTCTTATCTTACGATATTTCGAGTTGGATGAAAACAGCGCTCCTTTCTAAACTAGACGATACCGCAAAATGTTTCTTCCTCTCGCATGGGAGGGGGGTTGGCTGATGTCGGGTAGCTTAGAGGACCCATGGTTGACGTGTTTCAACTCCGATCGTGCTACTTGTTTTACGATTTGACCGACCGCCACGACATTTGCCCATTTAGATGCTACTACCGTACTATCAAGAAGATTGGCTGCCAAAGGTATCTATCCAGCAGTAGATCCTTGAGATTCAACGTAAACTATGCTACACGCATCGTTCGCTACCTTCTCTCCCGCCATTTCCCTCTCCCTAACAGGAGATCTCTTTCATAACCTCTCCCCGAGCCATAGCTTCTCTGTTCTCTGAGTCTGGCTCTAGTGAGTCAGTTCCAATGGAGTAAAATTCTATTGAAATAGCCCTTCTTAGCTATAATAGCACTAGCAAGTCTGAAACCACTGATCAGAAATTACATGAATAGAGATGTCTCTACTGCTTTCGAGTAGCCCGCATGAGAGATCCCTGACCAAGGGCAAGGGAGTATTCCTTGGCTTTTCCATAGCGGTTCTAGCCCCACCAATGCCATCATCAGCCAATCAAGAATAAGAGGAAGGCGCCACAATAGCAGTGAACTCATTGTTCCCGTAAGCTGAGCTCGATTCTGATTCTTTCTTTTCTGACGACTTTGCGGCTAACTGGCCTTCTTCTTTTAGGCAGTGGGATGGGAACCTCTGATTGAAAAGGAAGAGGCCGGTGTTACGCCTCAGCCAATGAACTCTTTCGGGCAGCGTTTCCTGATTCTATCTCTAAACAGCTCTTCCTCTTCTCTAATGCCATTCAAAAGATGTACTCCGGCTGGCTACGGACTGATCAACAAGACCAAACCTATTGTTCGGTTGAAACTACTGAGCTAGGTAGCGACTCCTTTTTGATTACTCCTTTGTTGTGCTGTTGGGAGATTCCATGGTTGGGTACTCCGTAGAGCGAGTGTTCAAATTCAATATAATATGACTGCTGGCGTGGTAAGGTAGCAGGTAGCTAAGACTAGAGCAAATCTGCTAGTGAGAATCCTCAATGACCTGGGTTCTTTGAAGACTCATTGCTAGCATTCCCGGAAAGGGAGTACAAATCTATTGAAATAGGCGCAGTAGCGGTAGTCCTTCTTCTCTCTTCAGCTGTTGCTTCTACCGCATTAGAATTAGATGAAGCCATAGATGCTGCTTCTCAACCAAGGGATTGGAAAAGAAGACTACTTTTTTACAGGCTTCTCTCGATTGCAAAATCCAAGGGCTAGGTAAGAATCTCTTTCTTTCTCGTTGCCCGGAGTACCTATATCTCTATTGCTGGAGATTCGGACCAGTTAGACTGAGCTGGTTGGCATTGGTTGTGGGTGTTGGAGAGCAAAGTGAGATTCAACAAACGAAGCGAAGCGAAGTGAAGTGAAAGAGTGAAAAAGGAAGGGAGAGGGAAGAAGCCGAAGGTGTCCCAACAAAGATTGGCGATTGGCAAGGTAAGCTAGACTACACCGTTGTCCCTATGGATGATTTCAAAGTTGTTTTGGGTGACGCATTCTTCCACAAAGCCCTTGCCTTCCCCGTTCCTGCTTCAAACTCCCCTCGTTATACTTGACGAGCTCAAGATTCGAGTAGTCCCATTGAAGCGCATGGAGAAGTCTAAGTCGACTATGATTTCCGCCATGCAATTCAAAAAGGGATTTAAGAAGAATGAGTGCTATGTTGCTACTATAAGGGAGCTCCATGATGGGGAAGAGGAAGGTGCTCCAAAGGCACCCTTGCCAAGTTGCGTGCAAGAAGTACTTGATGACTACAAAGATGTGATGCCTTCCCAGCTACCTAAGAAACTCCCACCGAGGCGAGAGGTGGATCACGAGATAGAACTTGAGCCTGGCGCGAAGCCTCCTGCTATGGCACCTTATCGCATGGCACCACCAGAATTGGAAGAGTTGAAGAGGAGAGCAAAGTGAGTCTCGACCATATTCTTGACTTCACTTCGCTTCTAAGTTGGGTCATACTCGAGTCTTCCCGGTACGGCCGATTGAAAGGGGAAGTCATCATATGAGCGATCAGGCTCGAGCATAGCAATAGCATCGGGACTGGAGTGGATTAAGCTAAGCCGAGTCATGGACTCTGTCGGACTGCCTACTCTTATGGATCGGCCAGTGGAAGGCACGTCAAAGGGGTAGAAAGAAAAGAAAGTCTTTGAGAGAATGCTATCATAAAGAAAGCAAATGAGCTACTGAGTACGAGCCTTCACAGGCGCTAGCCAACCCAAAAGGCAAGATCATATTCATCAGATAGGGCCCTAGCCTTTGAAGCCATCATCTTTTTCAAAGACAACAAAACGAAAGTCTCCCTTTCGTTTTATCCACTCGGGAAGTACAGTCAGAATAAGATTACCGCTCAGACTCAGAAAGAGACTGTGACAAAAGGGGCTGTGTCAGACTGATCAAAGCAAGCCTCAAAGCGAGAAAGGCTCGATATAATTGACCTCGGGAAGAGAGTCGACAAGCGAGTACGAGTAGAGGAGCGGTACCCCACTCATTAGATTAGGTTTCAGAGCTAGCCCACTATCAAGAAGCTCCGATAGTCTCGACCGGGTGAGAGCAATGAAGCCGAGAAGCTAACCTTGACCTACAGCGTTCGGAGACCAGGAACAAAGCTCAAAAGAAGACTCTGGATCGCCTCGCAGGGACAAAGAGAAATAAATAAGACAGAGGGGGGTCTTTAGCTATGCCACTTTTGGTATAGTTAGGGCTGTCCCCTCCGCTCAGAGTGCTACTCTGGCACAGTACACGGTCAGTCGTACTTGCCTGGGATCGAAAAGAGCGCTAGAACTTACCGAATGGTCGTCATGGGCGAATGCATGACAGGAGCAATGCCGACTCCATTTTCAACGAAAGTTACAAAAGTGGGGAAGTGTACTGACATCCGAACGAATCGACCCCACGGAGCGGTCAATTACATCGAGCCTCGCTCAATAATGAAATTAGACTAACAATGAAATCTGGAAGCAGAGCGGTGAACCGCTTCGCCTATCTGGCCATCGGCAGAGCCCTGGACCCAAGCAAATCTACAATTTCTACGACCCCGAGATAGCCTTCTTCCAACAGGGAAGAAAGCAGATAGCAGGTACTTTTCTTTATTTACTCAAGGCTTCGACTTAGGGCTTTTGATTGGGTATAATATTTCCGAGAGGAAGTTGAAAGATGGATTCCCTTGACTGGTCTTTTAGGTCTTCTTATCCAGCAGGAAACTTTCATCTTGCTTTAGAGGCCCGAATGCCTCAACTTCGTCGACCCTGATTCCTTTGACTGAACTTCGCTTCGTTTTTTCTCACTTTGCTCTCCTAGCTTTTGGCGGAATAAGCGCTAACCACCTTCACTTCATGCCTTTGATGCTTCTTTCTAATGTTGACGACTTTGGTACAACAAGAGGTATATAAGTTAATACACCTTGTAACTGATTTTTCCAATCTATCTCTCTTATCGAATGAATGAGCAGGTAAGTACATTTATCTTCCCCCTTGACTAAGGCATGACCGGTCGATTGACTGACCATCTAGGTAGCGAGTGATTAAGACAGCCCGATGAGAAGTCAAGAACGTTTATCTTGACCTACTTTTTGCAAACTTCTACCGAGCGAGATTGAGAGATGAAGCGGGCAAGCAAGATCGTGTATTTCAATAAGGAATGCGAGTAGGTTAGATCATAAGGACTCCTAAGAGAGTAATAAGAAAGGAGAAAAAAAGACTCATATAAATTCATTATGCTCATTGTCTCCAACTCTTTTAATAGGTAAATGTGATGGAGTGATAGATTGATTTGATCTATCAAGAACAAGAAAAAGACCTTACCCTCATCTTCTTTTTGTTAAGCTTTAGCCGGTACTATTCGTCGCTATGCCAACTACTCCTTCTTCCCCTCCTTTTGAGCTCTTTGACTGAACTTCGCTTCTAAATTACATCTATCCTCCGCTTTAGGTTTAGACTTGTCCGCATATAGACCATTTGGTCGATTCGATGGCTTCTTATTAGCAACACCTTACTCGTTGGAGTTAAGGCAAGGTCAATTACATCGAGCCTATCTCAACAGCAAAGGAAAAGGTCTGGATCTGAGCCTTTAAAAGAAGGATCCTGGGAGGAAGGGATAGAAATAGTCAAAATATATAAAGACCCTACCGAGTGCGTCTTTTAATCTAAGATTGGGTATGATCCCCCTACCTAAACGTAGGAGAGCGCGTAAGTAAATGGGCTCTGGGTTGATCTGCAACAATGAGCTTAGTTTTCTATTTTCCCGTTTGCCGTACCTCCGTACCTATAGTACCGTGAGGATTTGAGGGATTGACTAGTCGCCCGACTTTGAGACAGGATTATGATGAGCAGCATAGTAGTTGCAGCTTCACTACATTGCTACACTATCACATGATTAGACTAGTTTAGGGATTCAACTCCTTCATTTCCGATCGAAGATGCCCCCCTATATATCGTCTAAACTCAACTCACGTACCACCTATCGCCATGCTTAACCAGAGTCATAAGGGGTCGACTGAAAGCACATGCTCTGATAATATTATCTTTCGATGAGAATTTGAATAACGCGACTGATTTGACCGACTCCCTGCTATTTCCCTCGCTGACGTTCCTCTGCGCAACAGCCTGATAGTGAGGATAGATGTAATTTAGAAGCGAAGCGAAGTGAAGGAAAGGTGTAATTGAGGGAGACACGACATGAGCTTACAGGAGTCGAATTGCCCCTGCCACGTTCTGCACCCTACACAATGAGCTATTCCA